GTATTAGGCCATTGTTTACGAGGACTGACTGGAAAATGTGCATTGTGGGAATCTTCCTCCAAGACTATTAAATCTTGGTGAGCGATACAAGTTAAATTTTGTATTTGAGGCAAGGGATGGACATAAACATAAACACACACAACAACTATACATTTTGTCTGTTCACCTAATACATCATATTTTTAAAGTAGTCAACTAATCCATAAAAAACAAGGTTTTAGTAAAAATGACAGCACCATATTATTGACGTCTTTTTGAGCCTTGGCCTTGATAGGTTAGGTGAGTTACTTAGGCTCGAATGTTTCTGTATTGGTCAAACAATTGCAATGTTTATTTAAGTGTTAGATCGCGAGAACGGGTTCCGGGAGTGTCGTGAAAGTGTTCACGGTGAAAGTAAAACCTTGGGTCTCTACGCGGTACGCTACTGGGGCTTTCGAGGGGAAGATACAGTATTATTCAGCAGAGCATCTTGAACTTTAGAAGAACTTTGCGACAATCGTGTAATGGTACAGTCCGTCCTAGTAAACGAGGGCCAAAGTCCATTCCATGGACCCCGCCAAACCCACTGTTTATGAATGAAAAACGGTTTACACACGCAACCCGTCCTCGACTCAAGTCCATTACATCCAGCGGTCGATCCCACAGACGCATTCATATATTTTTACATGCTGTTCATTCAAAACAAGAATTTTCTCAAATATAAATTAATATTATAATATATTAGCATATTGTGCATATATAGGCATAGGTTAGGTTAGGTGTTTAGGTTCGGTTGGCGATTATTTGTATTTGTAGTACGTGGGTGAAGCATTTATAGGGTTGTGGTTCGAACAAAATTCGTCAGTGAAGCATTTGTTCCGGAAATGTTCGAACGTCAGCAGTTGTGAGTCGTGTGTCAGCCCGTCCTCCAAACAAAGATCCAAAAGTGATTCCATCCACCCACCAAACCCCCTGTTTATGAATGAAAAGTGGTTTACACACGACTCACAACTGCTGACGTTCGAACATATCCGGAACAAGTGTTTCACTGACGAATTTTGTTCGAATCGCAACGCTATAAATGCTTCACCCACGTACTACAAATACAAATAATCGCCAACAGAACCTAAACACCTAACCTAACCTAACCTATGTCTATATATGCACAATATGCTAATATATTATAATATTAATTTATACTTGCGAAAATTCCCGTTTTGAATGAACAGCATGTTAAAATTTATGAATGTGTCTGTGGGGTCGACCGCTGGATGTAATGTACTTCAGAGGATGGATCAGAGTGCGAGGACGGGTTGGAATCCGAATATATACAGGATAAGACACTCCGAAGGGCGAGCTTGGAAGTGGACAGAAGAATAAAGGGGGTGAGAGGAAGTAGACTTGTAGGAAAAAAAGTGCCAGGGCTAAACCCAGCTGCTTTTTTTATTTTATTTTATTTATTTATATACAAGAAGGTACATTGGGTTTGAGAGAATACATAGCATAGTATTTACAATCTTGTAAAGCCACTAGTACGCGCAGCGTTTTGGGCAGCTTGGCGTTAGGTTGCGGCATTTGAGGCAAGTACTCAGTCGGTGTGTCAATGGCAACAACAGGAACATCACAAAACTCACATCATTATAGTGATTGGCTCAAAAGCGTCAGGGCTGAACGTTTACGGTTGGTTTGTGCTGAGTGTTGAGAGCTGTATATTTATAGATGGTGGATGCTAGGTCTTGAGAGCTAAAGTTTAACGAAATACAGAATTAAGAGGAGGATCATGGATGGTAAAGAAGAGATTGTGGGTGTTCCGTGGTTGTCTTAAGAGTGTGTAAGAGAAAGTCAATGTGTCATTCGTGATAAGAGAGTAGTCTGTCAAATTGTTTGTTTAATAAAGTTTTCCAGGAGACTTTGAGGGCAGGAATGTTGGTACCTTCATGAAGACTTTCGTTGGTATTGAAATAATCCCATCGGGTGTTGAGTACGTTGAATAACTTAGTGATAGCAGCAGTGATAGAAACAGGGAGTTGTCGAAGGAGGGTATGTCCAATGCCAGACGCACCAAGAGCTCTGCAACGAGTACCCATGAGAGCTGTCTTAACATCAGCTGGAGTCAGGGGAGTTTGTAGTTCAGTGTGTGAGTTGAGGTTGTTAAGGTGGATGAGGTCGTCAGGTGTGGTTTCATGTCTGTTTTGGTGTACTCGGTCTTCAACTACTTCAGTGTTGGGAAGGGCAGTTGGTTCAGGAGGATGTGGATGACAGATGCGTTCCCAGTGGAGTTTAAAAATGTTGAGTACTTCATCAGGGTCAGTGATTTTGTTGATGTTCTGTAGAAGGTATTTAAACGGTGCGTGAGTTGTTCCTTACAAGTGTTTGACTTGTTTCCAAAATTCCTGAGGTGTCAGTTTTCTGTGTTGTTCTGCTTGTTCAATGAGGTGGTTTCCAATGTTTTGTGTGGTCTTCATCTAGGCTGTTAAGGATGTGTTTTTTTTTATGTTGTGAGGTCCCAGAGTACTTGTCCATGGCGATGTATGTTGTGTAAGAATTGAGAATGATAGCAAGCTAAAAGGCGTTTTGTGCGAACGAAAGGGATGAAAATTAAATGTGGTTTGTGTGTTTTAGGAATGGAGATGTTAGCAGCATGGATGATGATGTCTTGTATGTTGCGTGATTGTGTGTCAATGTCAGTGTGATGTTTGTCATTGTATTCTAAAGTGAGATCAGTGTCATCAATGTGTTGTTTGAAGATGTCTCAATTTGCCCTATGGTATGAGGATTGCTAGGGATGAAAATAGGATTGGTGGAGACTGTGAGAATTAAGGGAATATGATCGGAGCCTGTAATGGGTCCTGGTAAAATTGTAGTGTTGTAGGTTGCTGCCAAGTCTGTTGGTTAATATGAGATCAGGTCTGTCAGCACCTGCATGACTGAGAAAAGTGGGGAAGTCAAGGCCAAGGAAGAGCAGATGTTTTGGATGTATTGAGATCGTGGGTGAGGTCCCAGCCAGTGGGACCTGGGTGAGGTCCCAGTCCCAGCTTCATCAAACGTGGGTGATGAAGGTGTTGGCCTGTTGATTTCTGGTATTGTGGGTGAATGTAGGTTGTTGTGCATTGAGGTCTGCAAGCAGGAAAACAGGCAAGTGAGTGTGATTGAAGAGAGTGGTGATGTCTTGCATGGGAATGCCAGTGTTAGGACGGATGTAGGTTGTACTGATGATGAGAGGACCCAATTGTGGGTGGACTTTTATGGCTAGAAAGTGTTTGTGAAGTTAGGGAGTGTGTAGGCGTTCATGTTTATAGGAAGACTTAATGAGTATGGCAACGCCTTCATGTGCTTCACTAGGTGATTGCTAAGATGAGTAGCCAAAGTGTCTGATTTTATACGAGTTTGTGATGTTGTTAAGAAGCAGCACATCAGGACGTTCAATCTCGGTAAAAATCAGACACCAGGTGTCTAATGGCGAAGAATGCCCGTACATTGAATTGTATGATCTTTATGCATGCGAAGAGTGAGGTTTTGAGCTGTGTGGAGTGCGAGCAAAAACAGAATCACCACCAGGTTGTCGGATGTTTTGGTTACTGGCATATAGATTACGGGGTGTATTGGAAGAGGTCTTACTGAAGATAGGAATGGCAGAGCGTTTTTTGTTATGTGAGATGAGAAATTCTTTGATAAGTTCGTGAGTTCGTCCTGAGTTCGTGGCTGAGGGTGGAGGAGTAGGGTCTAAAGAAGAGAGAGTGTCAGATGTCAGTGTGATATTTTTGCAGGAGTGGCGGTGGAAAGGATATATCGAAGGTGGGTTCAGTAAGGGATGAGAAAAGGGGGTCAGTGGGTTGAGAGGTTAGGTCAGTGGGATGTGAGACTGGATCATTGAGGGAAGAGGCAGATTCAGGGTGAGGAAGGGTCGCATTGTGTGGGGGGGGGGGAAGATTGGGATAGTATGGGCTGGTCAACAGTGGTTGGGGTTTCGTTTTCTGTGTCGATCATAGAAGCAGTGGTGTTGGAGGTCTGGGGGGGGACTGTAGAAGACATGGTGTATGTAGATGATCTGTCGGAGTATCCACCGTGGGGCGAAAAGAGGTGTGGAGGAGGCACAGAAACACTATGAAAGCCATTATGACTGAGAGAGATGGGGAAGGTATTCAGCAAGGCGGCCGCTGCTTTAAACAGCCTAGTGTGAGGACGGGTTGGACAGTCACCCTGCCGGCACTCGGACAGGTGGAAAGGTTGCCATTCGTCCATAAGGACATTCTGGATTCAGGACATGGAAATTTTTGGTGCATTTGGAAAATTTGTTTCGGCGGATTTGAATACATTTATAATTTTTTTTTGTAAGCGGATTTGGATTTTTTGTCTGATTTAGATTTTTTTTGTTGGCGGATTTAAAATTTTATGTTGGCAGGTTTGAAATTTGTTTGTTGGTGGATTTCAATTTTTTGTTGTTGGCGGATTTGGAATTTTGATAGACCCACAACAGGTCCCTATGTCCCGGGGGAACCTACTTACACTAGTAAGTAGGTTCCTTGTATCTTTGAGTTATAACTCATCTATATCAAAGCACGTATCAAAACACCTCAAGATATTCATCCGTAAAACAGATCTTGAATGAATTTAGAATAAATCTATATTTGCTGTATTCATTTTGAATAGCCCAAAGGGTCGAGTTTCTTAGTTTGTCAACACGACTGACAGTGACAGCCGTTAACTGACAACTGTCGGTGCGAGAAAGCACTTGTGATCTTAAAGAACAATATTTATCTTATCGTGAACATTCTCATTTTGAATATTCTCGTACATCAGTCGTACATCGAAGCTGTTTACCGCCTGATAATATTTTAAAATAATTTTTGCTGTGGCTCGCATCCAAGATTTTTGGTATATATTTATATATATAATGTATTGCTGCAGATGTGAGTACATCTTTGGTATGTCCACCGCAGTGTTTTTCTATTTTTCAAATGACCAATTTAATCTGGCAGTACGGCGAGTGATAGCATCAGGAATTGGGGCGAGATATAAGATTATAAAGTGCATCAGAGCAGACGACGATCTTAACCTATCGAGTCGCCCATTAAAGCTCTCCTCATTACATTGTTTAGTCACTCTTAGTGGCTTGTTGGTGTCCGATGACAGATTCGGTAATTTGCATTCAGCGTTGCGTTATTAAATGTATTCATTGCTTGTCTAAGGTATTGCCGAATTTGCTATAGATTACAAAAGTGTGCATGCTGCCGGGCGCGTGTTTTAAGTGGAGCCAACAGCCGGGTTTGAGATGGAAGAAGTCGTGGAGAAAACCCCAGATCAGCCACGAAGGAGCTGTATTCAGAGACTAAGCTACTTTGTGGTAGACACCCTTGAGAGCTCCTTCTACAGGTGGGTATCGTTTTTTCTTTTTGTTGCTGTTGTTAAAGGTTGGGTATTAATATATTCCCATGCCCGAAACGCTTTGCGTAATAGTGGCTTTAGGCATTGTATGTACTAGCTCTACCTATAAGTCAAACAATTCTTGTAAATATTTATTGTATGTATGTACCTTACCTAAATAAAATTGTATTGTATTGTATTGTATATGTTTTGTTACACTGTAGGCTACAGAAGCATACGACTCGTGACCTATGTTGACACGGGTAGAGCTCTACAGTAACCTGGTGGGGGGGCTGGTAGGGGGCCTGGTAGCCTGGTGGATAGCGCGCATAACTCGTAATTCTGTAGCGCGAGTTCCCGCACCAGGCAGAAACAAATGGGCAAAGTTTCTTTCACCCTGAATGTCCCTGTTACCTAGCAGTAAATAGGTACCTGGGAGTTAGTCAGCTGTCATGGGCTGCTTCCTGGTGGGTGTGTGTGTGTGTGTGTGTGTGTGTGTGTGTGTGTGTGTGTGTGTGTGTGTGTGTGTGTGTGTGTGTGGGGGGGGGGGGTGTGGAGGAAAAAAAAAGTAGTTAGTAAACAGTTGATTGACAGTTGAGAGGCGGGCCGAAAGAGCAAAGCTCAACCCCCGCAAACACAACTAGGTGAATACAGTCTCCCAGCTCATCTTACTCCTTACCGTGCTTGTTTTTTTCCCCTGGAATATGGCCCGTTGATCGGTTTGCAAACATCACTCTGTCACTGCTGGGTGAACGGGGGGCGAACATCTAAGGTTTGAGGTTGTTCATTTATTATGCATCCCATTCCCGTCCATGTGGCCGGTAGTGGACCCGACACCTGTCCCTGTGGCCGGTAGTGGACCCCACACCCGTCTCTGTGGCCGGTAGGGGACCCCACACCCGTCCCTATGGCCGGTAGTGGACCCCACACCCGTCCCTGTGACCGGTAGTGGACCCCACACCCGTCCCCTGTGACCGGTAGTGGACCCCACACCCGTCCCTGTGGCCGGCAGTGGACCCCACACCCGTCCCCTGTGACCGGTAGTGGATCCCACACCCGTCCCCTGTGACCGGTAGTGGACCCCACACCCGTCCATGTGGTCGGGAGCTGTAGTTCTACAGTATTTCTTGGTCTTTGCGTGCACTGTCTCAATATACTGTCACAGTGTACCTGCCTTTGATCTTTGTTGCAAACATTAACTCTTGAGACATTATTGAGACTATGTAGTGGGTTCACACCCCTATCCTTGGACTTTCCAAACACACGCACGACCGTCTGAGCCACGAGGAGCTCAAATGTGTCTTGACAAGAAGTACTACTATCCTGGAGAATTTCTTGCAATTTGGAAGGCAAGATTCAGTGCCACAATCCAAGTTCTGCGAGGTGCCCGCCGTCTTTGGCTCTCCCACACCAATATATACGTTGATTTAGCATCGTCGGACACGTGTAATTCCTGTTGTCGGGGACAGGAAGCCTGTAATTATGTATTGAGGGCCGCCCCCCCCTTCCCTTTTGGTCAACTACTGGCCTTCCCTCTGAATCTAACCCCACAACAGTTGCCTAACTCCCGGGTATCAATTTTCTGCTAGGCGAGCAGCGGCATCAGGTGAAATGAAACTAACCCAACCGTTTCTGTTCTGCCCGGGGATCGAAACCCCAGGTCCCTCGGTTGAGAGTTAGAGGGAGGTAGACTACTTTGCTTGAGAATCCATATGGAGATACGAATCACTAAATTGCGAAAATGAAAAACTAAAAACAAACACAGTAGAAGAAAGCCAGTGTGATGGCCTTGTTAAGGGGTTAAAGGAAACCAGTCCTGATGACCAGACCACACACTAGACGGGACGTCGACGTTTCGGTCCGTCCTGGACCATTCTCAAGTCGATTGTGGAAACTTGGAAACCAGTCGACTTGGAAACCAGTCCTGTTTGATGTTGCTAACAAGGTACAGTGTCTGAAAAACTTTGAATTCGCTAAATGGAGTTCATTGACTCCGGGGTGCTCCAGCACAGCTCTTCCGTCACTTATCTAGCGTTGCTATGATACTCTAGTGGTAACAGTAGCCATGTATAATTTTGTTGATATCTTTTGTTACTGAAGTGTTGGTTCATCACTCGCCTTCGTAAGTGTCTATATCTGTCTTTTAGATAGAAAAACCCTCTCTCATTTCTGTAAACTAAGATAAGGGTTCATCAGCACTGATGTTCTGAATGAATCTACAAGCGTAGATGCCCCGCAAACACACAAATGTAATTGTTCATATTTTCCGCTTGTTACATCTTGGTATAACGTTTTTATGACGTATTAGAACGTTGTTACAACTTGCTATATTGCACGTTATACCTTGTTAGGAGGTGTCAACGCTTGTTCGAACGTCGTAGTTTCGTCGTGTGTTCGAGCTGACAAACTATTTAACATAGTTTGCATTATGTTAAATAGCTCATCTGAAGCCTGACCCTAGAAAATCGTTTGATGAGTTTATTATTTAATCAGGAATCAAATAAATTTAATGTTGCGCAACTATCATGTAAGGTAGTGAATGAACCATGCGCCAAATGGGTGTCAGAACCTTCAAATGGCCGGTGGACTTGAATTCTGGAACGTGTATGTGTCGAGCGAACAAATTCCAAAGAGTGTCAGCCTGGGAGTGAATGATCACTGATGAAGTGATCCATTTTAAGCAAAGCACAGCCAGAATGAGGCTGTTGATGGCCGAGGGCTTTTTGTTTTTGCCAACTTCTGATTGTTTACAAAGTTAGTCCACATGGGTAACTGAGAATACTAGGCTTGTGTTTAACAGTAAGTCTGTGTCTGTCTGTTTCTCCCTCTTTTTTTTTTTTACCTGCTAAGTATACGCAGGCGCATACATTGTTTGCTAAAGTTTGTAAACTTACAAAGGGGTGCATAATTTAGAGCTAATTTTGTATAAATTATTGATATATTTAGTGTAGAGAGGAAGCAAATATTCAGCTGCCACTCCTGAGCAACAGTTGACATTCTTTGTATTATGTAACATCATCTTGAGCACTTGGTATGCGTTTATCTCGTATCAAACTATACTCTGAATAATCAGCTGTCAGATGAGATCATTTATCCAAACTCGTCACCAGACAGGTAAGTTAGACGTATGCTCATATTACTTGATAAGATTGATCAAGGATCTGTGGTTGGCAAAGATGGTCTTAACTGCGTTATTTAAGATAACGTTACGCGGTAAGTTCTATACAGAAGGAAGAAACTGGGATACCCGAGATAATATTGAGACCTTGCGATGGAATCGAACTCCCATCCTTGGGCTACCCTAGCACGCGCGCGCGCACACACGTATCATGGGTTCGGTTGGTGGTGCGTACGTGTGACTGGGAAGTCCAAGGATGCTGGTATTCGATCCCAGTGTACGACCTGAATATTTTCTTAATGATCATTCTTTGGTTATAGTGATTGTTTGCAGATGACACACCCGGGGTATGAAGAGTACCCTCATCCACATCACCAGGTAATGCAATGCCATAAGAATATACGTTAGTCTCCGTGGTGTAGTGGTAAGACACTCGCCTGGCGTTCCGCGAGCGCTATGTCATGGGTTCGTATCCTGGCCAGGGAGGATTTACTGGGCGCAATTCCTTAACTGTAGCCTCTGTTTAACGCAACAGTAAAATGTGTACTTGGATGAAAAAACGATTCTTCGTGGCGGGGATCGTATTCCAGGGACCTGCCCGAAACGCTACACGTACTAGTGGCTGTACAAGAATGTAACAACTAAACAACTCTTGTATATATCTCAAAAAAATAAAAAAAATAAAAATAAGCGAAGAGGGAACCGCAGAGCGCCTACTGGTTCGAGCGAGGCAGGATGGTGTATCCAACTGTAGCGACATTGATAGCGGCCGTGAGGACCTCGTGGGAAGCGGGGGTACACGACAATTTCTGCCTGTCAATTTCGGGCTGTCGGAATATCCATCTCGACTGCCGTCGCCAATGTAAATATCGTTTCGATACGATGCAGTGATGGAAAATCAATCGTTTACATATAATGCGAATCAATGCAAAGGTAAATCCATCTTGCCGATATATTTTTTTTCATTCACTCTCCTTCTGGTAGTTCATATACGTGACCAGATGCACCTCCAACTTCATGATGCCGTCGGTCCAAAAGGGCATCGCTGATAGGGGGCCAGAAACAATACTCACCCTTGAGACTAAAGACCAATGTGATGCACGTTCAAAGCCCCACAACCAGTTTGAAATCCTAACATGTCGAAAGGTGTTGGTCATAAAACCCCGAGTAGAATTCTCTTAAGTTTTCTTTTCGTATAATTTGGACCTATAGAGTATTTCTAAAACGCGGTGAACGTTTTTATATATAAAATAGCAAATCATGATATTATTACTAGAACTTTATTAATTTTCTTGTTGATTCTAATGCAACACAAGACATTTTGACCTATGGTTCACGAAGGTAATTAATCCTTTATTTTCGAAAATAATGAAATTTGTCAGGCAAGTTACAATAAATGTAGCCTCATGAAGCAAGAGTCTTCATGCTTCAACTGCATGAAGCCTCTAACGGCAGGTGAAATGCTTCAATATGACTTCCTGTTTTCACACAAGTTATTCTTGTACCCACTCATAGTATATATAGCTTAGTGGCAGCTACGCACTACCTATAGTATATATAGCTCGCTAGTGGCAGCTACGCCGAACCTAACCAACCCTACCTAACCTATATATATATATATATATATTAGGTATATAGGTTATATATATTAGGCAAATATATATATATATATATATATATATATATATATATATTATATATATATATATATATATATATATATATATATATATATATATATATATATATATAATATAATACTGAATTTAGGCTTCAGATACGTCCAACACTAAAGTTTATTTGCTAGTTGATAAGTAAGGTATGGTAGCGACCTTAACAACCAACAAGCCAGCCCACCACTTGTAGTTAGGCCACTTGATCTATGGGTGAGCATGTGGTAATAGGGCAGCCTTCGTATTATCGCGCGCCTTTATCTTGTTTTTTTATCTGATAGTATATCACTCTTTTTTTTTTTACTCTTATACTTGACACTTTAATCGCTGCCCGTGCAATTAATGCACACTCATGACTGCAGGTGTACTTTATAGTGTGAAATGAAACAATGCTTTTGTTTATGGAGAGGCTCTTTTTATAGTTGTGTGTACTGGCCACTTGACTGCATGTGTGTGACACGGCCTTCCTGTTATCAGGAAAGCCGTGTCTTACCGTCACTGTTATCATCCCTAACAAGTAGTTCAGATGACCTGAGATACTATTTTTTTATATATTTGAAATACTAATTAGAAACGAGATGCCGAATTAGTTCGTGGATTTTCCTCATAGAGTATACGAATTTTAAACACCTTTTTTTTTTTTTAACATGTTCTGGAGAACCTATATTTATGCTGATATAAGCCTTCCATAAACCTGTTGGAGTGTACAGTAGCCTTTTTTTAAAGCACGACACCACAAATGTACATTTTTTTCTGTTTTTTAGGTGTATATTGTGTTTATGGTTAGGCTAAAACTAGATTTTTATAAGATATAGGATGAAGCTAACGCCAGCTGTGGTCGAGAGCTTATATATTGGCAATTTAATTAATTTCTCAAATGTCCATTAGTTAGAAAATGTTCTAAATGTAAGTGAAGAATATCCGCTTATGTCTTGCTCTCATAATGTCCTTCGGGGTCGTTTCTCTCGGTAGATTCCTGAGTTGAATCTGATACATTCGATATCGCCCATTTTATGTCCTCCTGTTCTCGAATTGGCATCCCGAAAGATGTTTATAGCACCTTTTGAATATCATGCGACGCTGACGGTGCTAGATAGGCTTCCTGACTTGCAGCCTACTTTTGATAGTTACTCCTACATTCAGTGCAAATGGTACAGTGCATGGTGTTTACCATCTTCTTTCTCTAAAATTACGGAAGATATTTTGTTAAACAGGCTACAGCGTCTTGTAAGAGAACCCAGTTAATAATATGTTTACTTCTCCTCTTTCACGTCGTAAAATATTGCTCTCTGGCCGGAGGTCTGTTCCCAAAGGAATGATTGATTTATTCATTTACTGTGCGCCCCATACCCATTCCGTGGGCGGTAGTGGACCGCATACCTTTTCTACAGGCAATAGTGGAAAAGGATACAGAGATACATATTGGGCTCAGAAACTGAACCTCAAATTTGTTTAGCTAAGAAAGTTACTATCTGGTAAGCTATTTACACAGTTTAAGTATTTACCAATAGTCTTTTATAGCTCAAATGGATCAAGAACTGGACCACTACAATCTGTAAACCGAGCAATTTACATCGGTTGTGAACCAGTTACATATTTACTTAAAATGCCCCCAATACCCATCCAGTGGACGGGAATAGGGGCGGCTGTGAAAAGTTTAATCATGCGCATGCACACGTCTTTTAACCTACAGTAAGCGAACTTGAATGGAAATGTGTTGAGCGTCGCTGAGGACAAGACAGTGTTTTGACGGAAGTAGTGTCGTGGTGTGTAGTGCCGTCGGGGAAGGCACGGTGTAATGAGGAAGGAGAGGTACGAGAAAATATTTTAGTTTAGAGAGAAGCTGGGAAGTGGGGGGGCGGCCTTGGACGTCTGGCACCTTGACTCCAGCACAACAACCTTATGTAACCAATCTTTACCGTACCGTACTTTTTTTAGTCATTTATACATGGGGTTTTTAGTCACCCATATCCATGCCGTGGACGGTGGTGGACAGGGTTACATAATAAGTAATGGGGTATATTGTATATACATAGGCACATCATGGGTTCAGGAACTAAACCTCACAGTTCATTTAGCTAGCCTAGTATAGAGACGTTTATCTCCTCGTATGGCTGATTACCATACTTGATATGAAGGACAATTATAACGGGGGCTAATACCACCAGTTATGCAATAATAGTCAATAAGACGTGCTTGGAAACACGGTAATAATATTCGTGGTTCGATTCTCTTAAAAAATGAAATTATATTTATTTGACGAACAATAAACCGTTGATTTAAAATGCTGGTGTTAGCAACCAGCATTTATTTATTTATTTTGTCATAGCAACCATGTCACTTATTATTTCACTCTCTTTTTTGTTTTTATTTTTAAGGTTCGATCAATCCGCTAAAACTCCGACGTATTAATATAAACAAAAACACTATCAAATTTACGATGACCAAACCACACATCAGAAAATGTAAAATTGACGAGAGAGAGAGAGAGAGAGAGAGAGAGAGAGAGAGAGAGAGAGAGAGAGAGAGAGAGAGCGCGCGAGCGGAAGGTACAGGCAAATATATTTGGTTAAAAAATATAAGGTTTCTGACCTTATTCTTGCATTCAACCTATTCTTACCTGCTCCTCGTCTCTCGTCTAGCTGCTCTCTTACCATGTATATATTTGCCTGTGCCTTCCTCTCTTTATCACACGACTTGATAATGGTCCTGGACGGACCGAAACGTCATGGTTTCTCCATTTTCAGATGTGTGCTGTGGTCCACACATCTGATTACTCAGTAGGTACAAATGCTGTACCTACTGAGTAATCTCTGTAATCTGACCTCTGTTGTATTTGTAAATTATCAGATTTACGTTTTCTATGCACAGGCCTCGATAGGCTAGGTATGCACAGGCCTCGATAGGATAGGCTACTTGGGATTACACATTTGTGTTTAGTTAAACAATTACATTTGTTACGGAGTGAAAAATTAAGAGAAGGGGATGATTTACGCGTGAGGCTGTGTTCTGTTGCACCAGACATGTGCCTACCGGAGTGGTTCACTGCTGAACCCCAATAATACTATATCTCGTATAGTATTATTATTATCCAAAAACTGCAAAAAGTTGATGCACTCATTTAGCTTAAACTAAGCCGGAAACAGTGTATGTAGTAACTATATAAAATATACAGATGGTGCCTACTGAGTAATCACTGTAATCTGACCTCTGTTGTATTTGTAAACAAAAATATTTAATATCAGGTATGGCGAGTGTGTGGCGAGCCACCCATGGCGGTACATCGTCGGGTGTCTGGTGTTCACGGGCGTCGCCTGCGTGGGGTTCTTCAACTTCCACCAGGAGCACCGCCCGGAGAGACTTTGGATACCTCAGGTGAGCCTCTTTTTCACTCCCAATCTCCTCTCCCTCCCTTTTCACATCCTCTCTACTTCCTTTCCACTCTTTCCCATCCCCCACCACACCTCGCCCTCTCCTTTTACTGCCTCCCTATAAGAGGAACAGGCGCGGGTTCACTTCCTCACGGGAGACATCTCCCGTCACGCAGGGTGCAGTCGCACCTCCACAGATCTCCAGTATCATCTATTGATACTGGTAATGGCTCAAAAGGGCCACCACTTACGGGCTATTCATGCCCGTGCCACCTTTTGGGTGGCTTAATCTTCATCACTCAATCAATCTTAGTTCCTAAATCTTCTCGATATCCCTGTTCCTCTCCGTCCCTGATTACCCATAATCCTTCCCAGTCCTCCAGGTCGCTTGTACTCGTCCTAGAGCCAGAAACAGGCTCAAAAGTGGTCACTAACCCAGCTTGTTCTCTACCCCAGAACTCTGACTACGTGAGGACTCTGGACTGGCAGGCGGAGAACTTCCCACAGGACCAGCGCATGGAGTTAATACTGTACGAGGCCGAGAATGTCCTCACCGCTGACTACGTGAGGGAGGTAACACTACTCGCATTAATAACACAGTCGCGCACACACACACATGGGGCGAGAAATGAGTATGGGAGTATGAGGTCTCACTTTACTACATACGCCCTACTTGGTGTATATAATATATTCCCAGCATTGTAAACACCACATGGAGCTCACTATAGCCCGTGCTACTCAGAACGTTCTGAGTACCTTAATCTAAAACAACAAAAACATTGTGAACAGAGCTATTGAACAATATTGTAGATATTGAACAGAGCTACCACAAAATGGTCCCTACACAGATACGCATCAGGTCCCAATAACATTCTAAAATGAACTTTGGAAAGTTCATTTTTGTTCATCTTCCTTCCCAAGTGAAGAACCTAAGAAACATAGATAAGATTCGTGCGAGAATCGTTTATCTAACCCTTTGTGATATTTAATATCATAATAGATTTTTTTGGGGGGTTATTCACCTCTGTCTTGTCTCTTGTCAGATGTACAGAGTCCACCAGCAGGTGACTAGTATAGTGGTGAGCAACGCCCAGGGCATCAACTACAGCCAGGACGACCTCTGCTTCAGGTATGTTCTCTTATCTTTCTATCTCTTTCTCGCACCCCGGCTTGTTGGTCCCCCTCCACTTGCATGTCTTTATCCTGCTGTATCGGTCCCCTACCCCCATGTCGCCCTTTCCTCCCCCCCTTTCTCTCTCTCTCTCTCTCTCTCTCTCTCTCTCTCTCTAATCTCTCGCGTTTTCCTATCCTCTGCTTATATTGACCTCCTTCCCTTATTTCGTACACCACTCCCTCATGTTGGCTGTTTATCTCTCTACGAACTCCTTTCCCATAAATTTGTCCTGCCTAGGTCATTTCGCCCTCTTCTAAAACAGGCTTATCCCACCGTCGTCATATTAAACCCCTTCAGTCGAACTGGACTATTCCCTCTTCCCTCTGATTATATATTGACATATATAATCGTGTCAATTTCTTTGTGATTAGTTAAAAAAAAACATTTATATAAATAAAATCATATAGTCATTACATAATGTAGTCGCGCGTCTCGTCAGAGTGTGCTGGCTGCCTTAAGAAGCCCCGATCACCTTCGCCACAAAATTCTCAGAGTTCCTGCGTTGGGCGGCGAGCAGCGCCAGGAGCTACGTCGGATCAAGCAGCAGATTTTCCCCAACCGTGACCCCAACGAGGATCTGGACTGGTCTCTGGTGTTCGACAAATCTATTTACTACCAGTTCTACACCAAGATGCCCACGGCCTGCTTGGAGGTGGGCCTCCTGGAGGTGTGGGGGTACAACCCGGACCTGATTCACAGCCTCACCGACGAAGACGTATTGTATGCCATCAACACGGTCAATATGAGGTGATTTATGGAGGCTTAATACTTAATTATAGTATTAAGTTTTAGTCTTTAGTGTTTTTCTTGCCCGAAACGCTTTGCGTAATAGTGACTTTAGGCATTGTATGTACTAGCTCTATCTATAAATTCATCAATATTTGTATCACCCCTTGTATGTGTGTACTTTACCTAAATAAACATTTGAATTTGAGGCACATCTGGGTAGTTTATGCATTATTCGATTTAATTATTGAATCTATGTAACGCTCTTATTATTTTCACTTCCCACGTATAGATAATATAATATTAATCCTAAACTTTTTCGTCTGTATTTAAAAGCCTCGTCAAAGGTTTATCATTATCATCTAAATAGCTTCCTAGTTTTCACAATAATAATAATAATATTATAGGATAAAAACCCATATTTATAAATCCATCCCAATAATAATAATTTATTCACAAGAAGGTACAGTGGGTTAATGAGATGACATAAGATTGGTATTTTTACATTCTTGCAAAGTCACTAACACGCATAGCGTATCGGGCAGATGGTTAATCTAACATATCAGGAAAGATGAAAAGGTACATGGTAGCAAGGTTTTATATCAACAGATTTATTAACAATGTTATGTTAAACCTACATTATTTGTGTTTGAATATTGATAAATAACTACATTTATATCCTAAAATGACTGAGATTCGGTACACACAGAAATCACAATTGCGTGATGCATCAAATGAACAAATCAACAAGGGCCGTGACGAGGATTGGAACCTGCGTCCGAGAGCAACCCAGACGCTACCTTAATCGACTGAGCTACGACATGCTACTTTTCATGTCGTAGCTCAGGTAGCTCAGTCGATTAAGGCAGCGTCTGGGATGCTCTCGGACGCAGGTTTGAATCCTCGTCACGGCCCTTATGAATTTGTTCATTTACTGAGATTCGGTGATTATCATAACCTCAGCGCGACGTTTTCCTATCCAATGAACTTCACGGAGTTTCTGGGCGGAGTGACAAGGAACGCGTCAGGTCACTTGACGGGGGCGCGGACGGCGCTGACGATACTGGCCATGCAGGTCAGCAGGACGAGGTTGGACGAGGTTATCGCCAGCAGTGCAGGGCTTTCCGATGAGGTCAGGCAGCAAGGGTACTCTTTGATTGGGGGTTCTATATAGAGTACAATATACCTTGACCGTGGTTTAAGAAATACAATTTTCTTCTCGTGCTGATTCTCATAGCACAATATTAGGGAAATTTCTGGCCTTTTTGGCCCATTAGGAACGACTGCTATTTAAATCCACTTAGTCATTCGTATATTTGTCTAACCTACGCTTGAAACAATCGCATATCTCTGTCGAACAGTAACGTCTTTCTGCAGTAAATGTCACACTATTAAACTTAAATTAGTGACGCCGAAAAACTTAAACTGACTGCAGGTGGACGCCGAACTCTTTGCCTGGGAGGGGGAGTATATTCGTGTCCTCAACAATAACACCGGCAGACCGCAGGGACTCGGGGTCTTCATACAGTCCCAGCGCAGGTAAGTCTCCGTGGGCAGAGGTCTGCCTGCCTGTGTTTATTTTATCGATCATAAGTCTGTGATGCCATAAAAAGTGCTATATAGTCGTTTTTTTGACTAACCTACAATTCCATTTACCATTCAAGTATTTAATTTAATACTGTTCTATGATAAAGCAGAACACCTGGTCGCCATACGTAGTACTCCTTACTGTTATTGAGAACCTTTAACTCCCAGGTTTCGTTTTAAGACTTTCAACGTCCCGTGGGCTTCACTTAAGATGCAAATATGTACCTCTTTCTGTGCCTTCACAGCTTTGGGGAGATCAGTGGAGACACCATCCTGGGAGATGTGGCGTTCCTGGTGGTGGGCAATGTCACCCTCTTCATTTATGTGCAACTTATGCTCGGCAAGTTCAACATGGTGGAGAACAGGGTGAGTGAGGGTGGCCACACACCAGAGAACTTCATAGATTTACGGTATAAATTACTGAGAAACGGCCATGATATTAAATGACATGTAATCGGTAAAAATGTTAGTTATGGGTACCAAAGAACATCCACGAGCAACGTAGATCAGTTGTACATTTTTTTTGATTTACAGAACCTCTACCCAGTACGGTATGAAAATGTTCTCGTATCCGTAGCCTCTGTTGTCGCTGCTGGGACTGTTATCGACCTTCATGGCGGTGGGGGTGTCATTCGGGCTGTGCTCAGCGGTGGGGCTGCTCTACGGGCCCGTCCATACCATCCTGCCACTACTGATGCTCGGCCTGGGCGTCGACGACATGTTCGTCATCGTCCAGTGTTGGCACAACCTCACCCGGCAGGTAACCTCCCTCCACGACCCCTATACTCCCGACACCCAATAGTCCCGCCAAACAGCGTTTATGCAACGTTGAATCAACGTTGATTTAGAGTTACTATAATATTTTCTCCACTACTCAGTGGACACATTATCAAAGAGCATTGCTGAATTAACGTTTATTCAACGTTGAACCACTGGGAACACTCGGCGCATTGGTTCGAACCCTCATCAAGGCTCCTGTGTATTTGTTCTTTGATATATCACGTTAATGTGATTTTATACAAAAAGTTCATACACACTACCCTAGAAGTGCTCTGCTTCTAGTGTAATATACACAAGTAAACTAGAGCCAAATTTCATTGCAATAACAACATAAATGTTATACCAGAACAGAAACCTTCTCACCTCAACACACACAACAGCAGCACCCGACGGCGCAGGAGAGTAGCTCCTGAATACGTATGGACAGAGTTGCCGTTAACCTCAAGGTTGCCGTTATCGTAATATGGTGCATAGGGCAGGAGCATTGCTGCTTTATGAGCACCTGTGTGTGACAAGCTGTTTGGGCAGTGCGTGTAGGTGAGGCAGCAGGGTGCTCGTGGCAGGGGGCGTATAGGGAAAGAAGTAGGGGTGTCTATGGCAGGCTCGGGTATTGCATATGCTTCTCGGTCTTGCAGGAGCGTCGTCAGGAGATGAAAAAAAGGGTCGGGTGCGCTCTCCGGCACGCAGGCGTGGCCATCACAGTCACCTCCCTCACGGACTTCGCTGCCTTCATCATCGGCTCCACCACCGTGAGTCCTCACAACCTCCGTCACCTCCCTTAGTCTATTCGAAAAGGCGGGCAAAGCTCGTACAACGTAACTTGTACATTTTCAGATTATTATATTTGTAAATTGTATACATGCAGCGAGATGGTGTGTACATATGGTACTTACAGAAAGGTGTTCATTATTTATTCATTTATTGTATTATTATTCATTAATCTATTGTATAGTGGGAGGGGATTGAACCCGGATTCCTTGATTGTGAGCCGCGGACTTCGACTACTGGACTTTAGGACCCATGTGGCTGTGAGGTAAACACCAATGACACATCCCTTGCCGATATTTATTTTGCATGTATGCATCTGTTATCTTATATACCATGATATGCATACAGCTTCTTATGATATCTTGTATAAGGAAATCTAGTTCAGATATCGAGCTTACTCTGTCATCTTTCACAGGTCCTGCCAGCCCTCAGGTCCTTCTGCATGTACTCCGCCATCGGTATCGCCACCCTCTACGTCTTCCAGGCTACCTTCTTCGTCGCCTGGTTCACTTTAGATCAGACTCGGCTTGAAGGTGGGTCCAGGTAGAGGTTACGTTGTTGGAGGAGGGTTGGGACGACTAAGGAGGAGTACCATAGGTGCAGTGTGATTAAGTATCTATATCTCACCTATTAGCTGTTACGAATTAAGGTTTTACTTGTAACGATAGGCGTTTCCCCGTAGACAAGCGCAATGGGCTCATCTGGTGCTACCAACACAAGAACTGGACACCCAACTCCTGCTCACAACGAGACCTCTGCCAGACCTTCTTTGATAAGATGTATTCTCGGGTTCTGCTCATGAAACCGATCAAGGTAATTCCGTGTTTTAATCATACTGCCTTAGCACCTTAGCCTCATAATTTTCTTTCCTTTCCGTGTTTTAATATTTTTTCAGACAGCATCAAATCTGCTTGACACAGGGTTTTAAGTTTAGTTCATTTAATATGCATGCCCATCCTGTAAGCGGTAATGCACCCCATACCCATCCTGTGAGAACCTGATAGGAACCATTCCTATCCTGTGAGCGGTAACATAAATGGTTAGAGGCACATATGAACTGTACCTCAAAAATTATTTTAGATAAGAAAGTTAATCTTGATCAGCTAATTACATAATTGAAGGTGATGAGTCACAAAAACGTGGCTAAAGTATGTTGACCAGACCACACACTAGAAGGTGAAGGGACGACGACGTTTCGGTCCGTCCTGGACCATTCTCAAGTCGATTGCCATTTCTCAAGACAATCGACTAGAGAATGATCAAGGACGGACTGAAACGTCGTCGTCCCTTCACCTTCTAGTGTGTGGTCTGGTCAACATAATTGAATGTACATAAAAGTTTAGTGAATTTTTATGGAAAATCAGTAGCGGCAATTAGTGTCGTGCATTTAAAGAGCAATGTTTACACTACCATGGCAGGCCATATTCCTTTTATTTAAAATATTTGTTTCTGAAGAACAATTTATGATAAGTGACTCGGTTTAATCTAGCCTTTTCAGTCATATTCATTTATAATATACTTGACGGGGTAACAGGCTCTTCTCTCTTCCTTCTCAACTTTTATCACTCCTCCACTCTCCCACTTTTCTTCTCTCAGAAAAAGAAATATTAGGATTGTTTTATTAACACATTTAGGTACATCTGCATTTGTGCAGCTACCCTAGACTATATGAAGGGGAGTACAATGTGTCAAAAAGCTAGCTACCTGATGCTAAAATCCCCATCACACAGAGACATGTGATAAGTAGTCTGCACTGACAAACTCTGGGTGCATTATGAGGATATCATGATGAACACAAGAGTGAATAAGGTAGCAGCGGTACTAAAAGTCCCCATCTCGCAGGATGGTTAGTCATACAGGGCCATATGTTCAGTAGCATTATGAAGCACTGAAGAATCTGCAAAAATAACTCTATGGGAAAGCACAACTGCTATTTCACACATTATTTTATGAAAATCACACGGGATGAGGAGTGGGGGCAAATATCAGCAACTATATATAGTTGCTGATATTTCTTAGTGTGGTACTGGGGCCAACCCCAAGTGACCATTAACACTTACATACTCCCCATCCCCTCATGTGAAATATTTGAAAGATGGGCGAGGCTACACCGGTGTCTGGCCTCCAACCTCAGATCCAGATATTTTCTTTATATACATGCGTAAATATCTACATATAAAAATGAAACGAAAATAATCAAGAGCACTTTCGTGATTAAATATATTTTCAAAGACTACAGTGTTCCTTGAAAATGTGGTAGTTAAATTGCGAAAGCATTCGGATTATTTTCTCATGCGTAAATATCCACAAACAGAATCGCGTGTTGTTATTAATTATTCTTGTATAAGACACACGCATGCACGCAATGTCAAATCAACGCTTCCACAAAACGGTTCATTGTTATCTGAAAACCTCCAATACTATGAATGGCTTTCATTATTTTCTGCTGTCTTTATTCTCTCAGAATAGTTTCCATCAGCTTTAGGTATTGACCCGGTCCGCGGTCGGTAGTCATACTGTAGCCCGTGAGACCAGTGTTACCCCAGCCCGAGGCTACAGCATGTTCCTGGTGTGGGCACAGGTGGCGGTGCTGGCGGTGACGGCCGTGATGTTTGGTGCCAGTGTCTGGGGCGTTACCAACCTCCGCCAGGAGTTCAACCCCGTCTGGTTCATTCCTCAGTCCTCCTACCTCTTCCAGTTCCTCTCCAGAATCCTCACCTACTACCCCCAGGCAGGTAAGCCCAGGGAAGAGTGGGGACCCGTAGGTGGACGGGTCTAGACGGGAAGAACGTGGGGTGGGGGTCAGGGTTATGGGGGAATTCAGATGTCCTGGAGAATAATTGTTATTTTGCGTAATAGTAGTAATAGAAAACTGTAATGAACTAAATGGAGCAGGTTCTAGATGTGAACTTTATTAATAATTTAAAAAGTAGATATTATGAAGCAGTACTTTTCAAACTAACAGGAGTCAGTGCATTAGTTAGCCGGCGCCAATCACTTTCCCGTATTCACAGATAGACTACTGCACGCACGAAAAAAAGCAATAGCCGAAACGCTTAGTTACTGTATGGCTTTATATAATAAACAATGACTTTACCCACTTTATACTATACATTGGAGAAGGTGTTGTATAAATACAGTATTAAATTTAATATTATTTACTGTCATCATTTTCTACTACTTTTCCTCTCGCGTCGATGCTTCACACACATTCTCACTGATGTTTCTTCAGGACACCAACATGTTTTATCCTTGTACAGATTCCTACTGATTACGCTGTTCTTCTTCTTCAGGCGAGAGAGGAGCAGTATACCTCGGGGCCCTCAACTACTCCCAGGAGTTTCAGAAGATTGGTCAGCTGACGGCGGCGATGAAGGAGAACGAATACATCTCCGCCGTGGACTCCTGGTATGACTTGATGGTTGGCTACACCAAGGACGACACTGGCGAGGGTTAGTGTAGTGTAGTGTAGTGTGTGTGTGTGTGTGTGTGTGTGTGTGTGTGTGTGTGTGTGTGTGTGTGTGTGTGTGTGTGTGTGGATAAATAAACTAAAGTCAATTCGGATGAAGGTGGAAACATGGTTACACAAGACCCGACAGATAGACAATCAACTTGACACAAGATTACGGCTTGTACAACTAATTCAACTTTTTCTCACTATCTAATAATTCTGAACCCACGTTATATACAAAGATAATATATTTAATATTTGAATTATGTGAAATTTTTAATTCAATAATATTTCAATATTTATTGATATAATTTGTTTTAATTAATGCATTTAACATAACAAACAGTGCATTACTATTCTGATGTTATTATGCTCTATTTGTTAATATGCACGCTGACCATAATTACACGAGAATATACATCTAAAAAAATGTGCGTATACAAAACTGAATAAACTAACACAAAATCTAAAGGTTACCAACTATTGGGTTCAATTAAAACAAAACAAAAAATCTAGCAAAGCTTTACCCTATACCACCACTCTCGGCAGACATTGGTGGGAAGGCGCTCAATGACACCTTCTTCAGGCAGGTGTTGTCAGCTTTCCTCTTCTCTCCCGCCGGCTCCCGCTTCCAGACCTACTTCCACTTCCAGGGCAACCTGACTGTCGCTCAGCCCACGCCTCCAGTCACAGTCAGTACCCCACACACTATAGTGACAGTAGTCACTCTTTCTCCTGTTGCTAACTTTCCCATTTTTGATATTGGCACATTTAAATCGTCATCTATTATCATATCACGTTTTGTATGAAGGGCATAATTATGAACAAGTTCTCTCAGTATACTCCATACTACTGTTGGGATCCATATTCTAGTTTTTTAGAGGACCGTAAACAAGAAATTAAAAACAAAAGTGACCACGAATTTTAGGAGAATACCATGTACTCTAGAGCCATGAGTTCCAATAAGACGAATTACAATAACACTTGGATCCTTGTGTGGGTACATCAGGACCTCTCTCTTTCTCTCTCTCTCTCTCTCTCTGCAGGCGTGCAAGTTCGACTACAGCCACAGGATGCTTGAAGGACGGGATGAACAGATCACTGCTATGGATCAAATCAAGCAGCTGGTGAATGATGCTGGATTTTCAGGCAAGCTAGTATCTGTCTATATCCAATGGATGGTTTAGCAACATCTCTTCACATTGTTTAGAGTAGCTCTTCTTTTACTGAGTCTACATAAATTAACTCTTACTCGGCACCAAGCCGAGTAAGAGCTAACAAGAAACTTGTCCTGGAGTTGTGTAACTGCACACAGGTGTTATCTTAGTGACACCTTTTTTGGTTCATTAATGTTACTTAGGGGCGGGGGTGAGGCAAGCAGAAGCTTGTGTTTCACTGTGGGTGAGCACCTGCTTTGTTATACCAGGGGAGGAGGCGAGGACATGCATGTATTGCACTGGAAATGGGTGCAAATGCCTGTTTATATTGCACCGGGAGAAGGGGGGCAATCGCCTGAATGTATTGTACCGGGGTGGGGGGATCAGGAGCTCCTGCTTGTTGCACTGGAGGGAGAGTGCCTACTTGTGCACCTATCTACCTAAAGACAGTGTCCTGCAACTCCAGGTTTACCTGCATCAAGTCATTATATCTGACATGACAGCACCTGTACATGGTGACGCTTGGCTTGATTACCATTTGATTGTACCCTGTAACCTTACTCTTGGCAGTATGCTATACCCTCAACTGCTCCACTACGGGTAGGTAAGGTGCCAGGTAAGTCCACTACGGGCTCACTATAGCCCGTGCTACTTGGAACTTTTGTTCCCAGTAGCTGAATCTAAAACATCATCATCATCTTCACATCTGACCAGCAGTTGTACCCTTAACACATGGCTTTGTCACTCCAAATTCTACAAAACTTACGTCCTTGTACTTTGATGTAACGTTTAACTCGCACTTTGATATATTCTGTAACTTAGTACTTGGCTGTATTCTGTAGCTTCACAAATACTTGTTTAATGTGAAATGATGGCCAGTGCAAACCAGTGCTACCAAATTATGCTTCTTATCTTGAGGTTATCGTGAGATGATTTCAGGGCTTTTTTTTTAGTGTCCCCGCGGCCCTCCACCCCCAGGAAGCAGCCCGTGACAGCTGACTAACACCCAGGTACCTATTTTACTGCTAGGTAACAGGGGCATAGGGTGAAAGAAACTCTGCCCATTGTTTCTCGACGGCGCCTGGGATCGAACCCAGGACCACAGGATCACAAGTCCAGCGTGCTGTCCGCTCGGCAGACCGGCTCCCAGTGCAAACCAGTGCTACCATATTACGCTTGCACAAACCTGCTGCACCATAATGCTCCTTTCTTCTACATAAAGAACATAATATTACAGGAAATGGCAGAAGGCCTATTGACCCATATAAGGCGGCTTATATTAATATGCACCCAAACTCATTCATACATCTTGCCCTTAAAACAATTCGGCGATCCTAGGTCTATAGTGTGTTAATTGATAATTTGTTTCATAAATTAGAAAAAATCCAAATCAGCACTTACCCCTGGTCTTAACTGAATCAAAGTTTTCCAATTTATATCCATAGTCTTTTCATATTACATGTGAAATTGGCAACACCCAGAGTTGTTTACTCGCACCTGAATGGCCCAGCAGAAAACCTCACCTGCACTGATGCCCTTTCAGACTTTGCAGCCCCACTGGCTATGATGTACAGCAGCTGGGAGACAAACAAGGTCATCATGGTGGAGCTGGTGAGGAACCTGAGCCTAGCCATAGTGGCCGTGTTCCTCATGACACTTGTTCTCATCGCAAACCTCATCACCTCCTGCTATGTCCTCCTCTCCGTCACCATTACTCTGGTGAGACACCTGCATATTTACCTGAATTTATGCGAAAGACACCATCTCTCTTGTGGCCTTGGTGACAGGGGGTGGGGCATAATCTGTTCTCTAAATCAAAATTGCTAGTTCTATCCCAGTATTTACCAAAGTATTTCCTAAATCTGAACTTATCCAACTTATCGCCATTATTTCTTGTCCTATTTTGTGTTGATATACTGTGCTTAACACCATATTTACATCCCCCTTTGTTATATGCTATATTGCCTTTGCTATATTTGCCCGAAACGCTATGCGTACTAGTGGCTTTAGGTATTGTATGTACTACCTCTATCTTTAAATCTAACAGAATGTTTGTACTGTAACTCTGCAACTTTGTATGTACTGTTCCTAAATAAATTATTATTGTTATTATTATATAAATTTTATATTGCAATTATGTCATCCCTTAACATAGGTTAAGGTTAGGATTACTCTTAACCTTTCTAGAATTTTTTTTGTTTAATCTCTTCATTAGGAAGATTTCTAATCCGTGAGATTAACTTTGTCATTCTTCTTGTATAACTTAGATTCATAATATTATTCATAATAAGATTCAAAGTAACCTATTTTTCTTATTTTGAACTACATTGGTAGGGATCTTTTTAAGTCAAGAAATCTATCATTTACCCAATGACCACAATTTATTTATTGGCCTTGATGGGGGGGACAGAAAGCTAGTAACTTATCAAAGGTCTTTCCCCACATTTTATCCTGTAGATTTTTATCCAACTGGACTTTGAACTGTCTTGGCTTCTATGGCTTCTATGCATAGATGGATCTAAAAATTTTTGAAAAACTTATATACAAGCAGCTTTACTCATATCTAGCCAAACTCAATATACTTAGCCCTTGCCAATATGGCTTCAGACCCAAAAAAAGCACTAACGATGCACTTATTAGTATGCTTAACTCGATTCATACAGCTCTTGATAAAAAGGAGCTCCCTGTTGGGTTATTTGTGGACCTGCGTAAAGCTTTTGATACTGTCAACCACCATAACCTTCTTCTTAAATTACATCATTATGGAGTCAGAGGACACTCCCTACAATACCTCGAGTCCTACCTTACTGACAGGCTCCAATATGTTTCTGTGAATAATACAATTTCTCCCACCCTACCCATCAACATTGGTGTTCCTCAGGGCAGCATACTTGGCCCTCTCCTCTTTCTCATCTACATTAATGACCTTCCAAATGCCTCCCAACACCTCAAACCAATTCTATTTGCTGACGACACAACCTTCATTTACTCCAGTCCTGACCCTCTTGCTCTAAATGCCACAGTAAATACTGAGCTAAATAAAGTCCATCTTTGGCTAACTGCCAACAAACTCACCCTTAACATTGACAAAACCTTCTATATTCTGTTTGGCAATAAATCCTCTAGTCTTATAAATCTCAAAATAAACAATACCCAAATTTGTAACAAATTAGATGGCAAATTCCTTGGCATTCTCATTGACCACAAGCTGAATTTCCAGGGACACATTCTAAATATATCAAAAAAAGTTTCAAAAACTGTGGGCATTCTTTCTAAGATCAGATATTATGTACCACGCCCTGCTCTGGTGACTCTCTATTACTCCCTTATCTATCCTTATCTCAACTATGGTATTTGTGCTTGGGGTTCTACTACCCAAAATCACTTACGTCCTCTAATTACCCAACACAAAGCCGCTATTAGAACAATATCCAACTCTGGCCCCAGACATCACTCGGTACCCCTACTCAAATCTCTTAATATGTTAGATATTAAGTCACTGCACATTCTCTCATGTGTATTATACATATATAAAACGCTAAACTATAATGCCAATCCTGATCTTAAAAGCTTCATAGAAGGTTGTAACAGAACCCATGAGCACCACACCAGAAATAAATACAGTTTTGATATTCCTAGAGTACGTCTTAATCAAACTAGAAATGCTCTGCAAATCAAGGGGCCCAGAATGTGGAATGACCTTCCCAACCATGTTAAAGACTGTACCTCTCTCAACCAGTTTAAGATAAAAACTAAACACTACCTAATAAATTCCCTGTAATCTACCTCACTCCTCTATTGTCAACCCATGTCTGTTATTTTCTTTTTATTTTCTTTTTTTTTTCTTTTTTTTTTAATCAACACTGTCTGTCAACCTATTGTATTTGTGCTGCTTTTTCAGTCATGTTCCCCCTTTTTTTTTATCTTTATTTGTATTTGTTCTCAACATCTTTTATTCTTTATGCTCAATTAGTATTAAGTTCTTGATATTAATGTTTTTCTTGCCCGAAACGCATTGCGTAGATGGATCTATGGGTGAAAAGGCATCTCCTGTTTTGTCTTACATTGCAACTTGTTGAGTTTGATGCTGTTGCCCCTTGTATGTATTACATGTGGCCTTTTTAAAGAAGTATTCTAGATTAATATCATGATGCCCAGATCCCTTTTGCTTTCAGATTTGGCAATTTCAACATTATCCAGCTGATATATGATAACTATTAGAATCCTACATCTGATAGTACAGTAGTATTAATTTTCCAATCTATCTATTTTATGTCTAAATTGTCTTGTAGCAATTTTTAGGCTCTTCAATTTATTTCTCGCCATATCTGCATCTTTGGCTAAATTATTGATGTTGTTCTTTAGTTTTGCATAAATCATTTACACAAGGTACACATAGATACCTGGACAAGACCCTGGGGCACTCTACTTACAATAGTTTCCAACTCTGATTTTACTATATGCTTACTCCTTCCTTTTAAATAATCGTGATCAGATTCAGTTTGATAACATTCCATTACCATGCATTTCTATCATTATAATCAGTCTCGTGAGACACCATATCGAGGGATTTGCTAAAGTTAAGGTATATAATGTTGCAATCTTTTCTGCTCTCAATTGGAGTGAATCTTGTTAAAATCATGCTGTGAATTTTTTATTATTTTTTAAGAGGTATACAAATGGTTTGTGCAGTTATCAAGTCATTGATTTGGATCATTTGTTTCTTGGAGGTGACCTCACTGACCATGGGTTCTTTGCATTTGTTATTCTATAATGTATGGTGCAGTTTTTCCTTGGTTCCTTCTATATTATCCAGTATGTTGCATGATCAGCATCACACTCTCCATACAGAGACCCATTATGTACCTTTTCAGTATGACTTGTGGTGGGTAATACACCATAGTCTATATTGGGACGAGCTTACTTAAATCCAAGGTGAAATGCTAAGGATCAATGTATAATTAATGTGCAGATGAAAAGTCACAATAATGTGGCTTAAAAATATTGACCAAACCACACACTAGAAATTGAAGAGACGACGACGTTTCGGTCCGTCCTGGACCATTATATCAAGTCAATTGTTCTGACTTCCTCCTGTACAGGTGAACGTGATGGCGCTGATGACGTGGTGGGACCTAACCATTGACATCATCACCTGCATCAACCTGGTCCTCTGTATAGGTCTGTGTGTCGACTACTCTGCCCACATCGCTCTACACTTCATGCAGGTCAATTTTTTTGTTCTCTTTCTGTATGGATTTCTTGGTGTTCGGGTTGTTAATCCTCCATGTGTACAGATGTAGGCCATATACAAATATTGTAAGAAAAAGATCAGTTGAACATATGAGAGTAACGGGTATTTACAATGAACTGCCTGTTACGTCTCATCCACACAGCTCGTTGAACTACAGGGGTAATTATTGGCTTTGTCTAGGGGTAATACCTGTCTCTTAAATATGTTCAACCAGAGTGCCTCACAAGTCTGTACCATACAAAGAATATTTCACCAGATTATAAAAACATGCACGTAAAAATTTATATATAATATGTCAATTTAAGTATATCATTCATGTATCAATTAATAAGATGGCACAATAAAGTAATGAATTATAATAATGCAAATATCTCCCGATAACTATATCTACTACAACGTGAACAGAAAAAACAACAAACAAAACTTATCAGGACAAGATCTATAACTTATCAGGACAAGATCCTCATAAGAATTCCTTAATTCCAAATTGGCCCTTTTTCCAAAGTTCAGTTAATCCGGTGTGACATATCGGCCCCTTTTTCCAAAGTTCTGTGAATCCGGTGTGACATATCGGCCCCTTTTTCCAAAGTTTGGTGAATCTGGTGTGACATATCGGCCCCTTTTTCCAAAGTTCGGTGAATCCGGTGTGACATATCGGCCCCTTTTTCCAGAAAAAAAGGGGCCCATACGCCTTCATCCCTACTACTATACGAGATAAGAATACAGACGGACGGGAGATGTCTCCCGTCCGTCTGTCAGTAGCACAAAGTCGACTATTATAGCGTCAGTATTTGGTGCCACAGGTGAGAGGTTCCCGGGATGAGAGGGTCCGGCTGGCTGTCAAGGACATGGGGCCACCTGTCATCAATGGCGCCTTCTCCACCTTCCTGGCCTTCGTCTTCCTCGCCAGGTCGGACTCCCATGTCTTCCTCTCCTTCTTCAAAGTAAGTGGAATTTGAGTTTGTTTCATATAACTGCTTTGAGGTCAATATAGTTTGTATACTTAGGTACCGATTTTGTGTAATTTTTTGTTTTTTGGCCAGAGGTTCTTGGAACTCTGTTTAGACTAGAGCTGCAGTAAACGTATGGTGGGCTTCCAAGCTTAACTCTATTACAAGGTAAATGTTGCTATGGTCTATTGATATCTTGATTCTAAAAAACTGTTTAATTAGATACTGTTTATAGATTTGGCAATTATATTCAAAAGGTTAGGTGAAATCATTTATTAGTGCTGAAACAAAATCTGTTTTGTAATATTATATTTAGGTGAAACTGTTTTGTGCTATGTAAGGTTTAAATGTGCCTGACAGGGAATAACAATAAATATACTATATATATATATTTCACAAGTCGAGCCTGGCCTCAGGCGGGGCTCGAGGAGTAGAACAACTCCCGAAACCTCCAGGTATACTGTACCTGTGTTTTTATATGTTGTGATTTACAATTTTTGCTCTTTTATTTGAAAAACTCAAGTTCAAGCAGTATACTGTCTTCCTTTGCCCATTTAACATATTTGTTAATGATTTATATTTTGTTCTCACTACCATTAGGCACTAAATTTAAGACATTATAAAACATCTAGCCTACATTAGTTTAGTTCATTTATTATGCACCCCATAACCATCCTGTGGTGGTAGTGGAGATCACAGCGCCACATAATGGACTCGGGAAACCAACCCCAAAGTTCATTTTGCTAAGCAAGTTTAAACTATGTAATTGGACTAGAAAGATTTATGTATAAATAAACGATATGTTCAAGAACTGTACCAGTTGTTTATTTACCTGAGGGTCACTACCACTAGTGGCTATGACAGGAATAGAAAGCTGGCGGCTTGTCAAAGATCCCAATATTTCTGGGGATTTTGTTTTACTCGATTTTGAAATGAAGTAATGTCTTGGCATTTACGGTTTTGATGGGTAGGCAGTTACGCAAGTTTTTAAGACTGGGTGAAAAAGCATCTGTTTGGTCCTACATTGTGGCTTGGACTTGAGACTGTTGCCCCTTGTATGCGTTACATTTGACCTTTAAAAAAAAAAAAAAGACTGAATTAATATCTTTCACAGTCATTTGGGTTCCAGCTTTTAAAGTTTAAAATTTGGGTAAAAGTGACTGAATGGCGCACATCATATACATATGATTTAAAGTAACACTTAAGATTTAAAAGTCACGCACGGTAAAGGAGGCACCTATATTAGTAATATAAATGCCAGGGGCAATAGTAATCCTGCCCGGAGCGCTATGCGTGCTAGTGGCTGTACAAAAATGTAAGAACTCTTGTATATATAAATAAATTACAAAAATAAAATAAACAGCCTCCATCTTTGAAAAAATCCAGGGTACGCCACCATTGGCCGCAGTGTTGCCAGATTGGGCTACACGTAGCGAATTGGGCTACTTTGGGAGCTCGGGGTTCTCAAATCATTTTATTTCGCTACTTGCTACTTTTGAGGTTAATTTAAAAGCAAGTTGGGCTAAATTGGGATATTAATGTTTAGAAACTATATGATGATTATTTATGCTTTTATAATGTAATGTGTACAAATAACAGCAGAGTTCAACAGCCTGATTGACTAGACGACTTACCACAGGAAGCTTGGTCAGAGACCGCCCCCTGGGGACGTTGACCCTAGGAACCTTCGAAAGAAAAAGTAACTGCAAGGTAATCCTCTCCAGGGGCCATAGACTTCCCAACCTTAATTGTCATTAATACTTCATCCCAAAAGCTACAGCTGGTTTCACAGATCTCCATTAAGGAGAGAAAGTTATCTAGAAATTTACAGATTGATAAAGGATAGGAGAGGTCCCTTACAATTAATACCTTTGTCAGGAAGACAATGGTTGGCAAGGAGCAGTAGTGTTAGATCAGTGGGATTCTTTAACAACTCATTACCAAATCTCTTCTTCCTCTTGTGATAAATATGTTGCAAGGCAACTATTTTCAATGTACTGTACTCTGATCCTCTCAATAAGCTATATTTCACATTTCTCAAACCAATCCTAAATGATTTTTGTGTGAGAATGGTCTCAGGATTCTCCCACAGCTGACTTGAATGGCTCATTGCAGTGCACAGTGCACCGATCCTCGTGCACAAGCCCTATCTCTGTTAACCCTGGATAGTAATGTCATGTTGGGTGTCCCCAGGATGCCAACATAACCAGGAATATGTTTATAATACAGAGGCTGCCGTATGTCCAGGCAGGAAGTAGATACAGGAAAGTTAAGCATACTTGCCACAAAGGGTCAGAGTACATTGGCTGGTGCGGAGCGAGCGAGAGCGCAGACAGATAGATAGATAGATCAACCTCGGAAGTTGGATTAAAAGCATTCAAATAGGCCCCCTTTAATGTGGGGGTTAGATGTAAATATTGTACTCATTATAAAGCACGATAATCATAACTTGCTCTATTTTTTTATATACTGTATATAAAATGAGCCTTGCAGTCCAGGCAACCATTGGGCCAACCAGTCCAGGTCAAGTCCATACAGACACCATTTACTTATAACTTCTGTACATTTAATATTACTGTGCCACTCATCCAGTCATTAATCTCATTTTCTCCTAGATATTTTTTGGAGTGTTTGTATTTGGAGTATTCAATGGCCTGGTGTTCCTGCCTGTGTTGCTGAGCTTAATAGGTCCACCGCCCTACCACACGTCCAGGCAACAATCTGACCAAGAAAGTGGCGATAGTGATGTCTGCTCCAAAGCTCGTGAAAAGCTTTATCCCCTTAATGAAGTGGAAATTGATGAACAAAAATACATGGAAGTGCCTGCTGACTAGTCTATTTTCTGCCAAAAAAGGTTTTGAACAGAATGTTTTACATTGCATACATTTTGCCCAATTATAGAAGTTTCTATGAAGTGATGGTAGCCTTTGTTACCTGGCAAGGTGCAGGTTATGAAGATCACTCTGAAGAGGGAAAGGGGGGGGGGGAAAGCAATGAAATGCTGCTTAAATTATGGTACAGTATATAAAATTTATTTTATTGGCCCCCTTTACTACAGTAATATTAGTCAGATTGACGAGAATTGTACTTTAATTGCTAAAATTAGACATTTGAATGATTAACTTTATACGTATTCAAACTATCCTTTAACTCGTTAAATTATAGTAGACCTCTTATTTTAGAATCCTATCATAAAGATGGATTTTAACTGAAGACGCCTTCCTCCTCTGTATTAAATTTATATAATGTTAAAAGAAAGTGTCTAATAAAATTTTAGAGAGCTTTTTGTTTCCAGAACTTAACTGATGTATAGATCTTTCATTAACATAGTACAGTACAGATTCACTAGTACTATATCCTTCCATGTATGCATTCTAGCAAGATATTATTAAGTATATATTGACTTGAATATTAAGTTTACCTGACCCTGCTTAAAATTGTAGTACTGTACTTTCCTTACACAGTGTGCAATTATCTTTCAGGATAAGAGCTAATATGCTCGTGGTGTCCAGTCTTCCTTAAAATCTATTATTTTGAAAAAATCTTTGAAACTGCAAATGGTTTTGGCATCCACCACCTAACTATTCCAACCTGGTTATATACTGGACTTTCTATATAAAAGCACATTATCCTATTTCCTACTTTATAGTAGGGAGGCTAGTTTCCTTTACCCAAAAAGGTGTGTGTTGACATACTGTATATACAAAAAATAATATAAAAAATTCTAGAACAATCTCTGTACAGTACCTTAAAATTCTTAAACATATCAAAGCTACAAAATGTATAATAGTTACTCATCAGCATTAAGCTAAATTTTTATAGTCATTATATTTTCGAAAGTGTTAACATTATTCATCTACCGTATCAACGACTGGTTTCTTGAGCATAGTTTATTAATGCAAAATTACTGCCTAGGGCAAAGAACTTTGAAAAATTTAAATGAACATTTCCTCAACTGATTTTTCAATTCCTCTTGCCTTTTCTTGCTCATATTAAGGTTCACCAAGAGATGCAATACAGTACCTCCAGAGAATCAATTTCTTAAATTTTAAAAAAATTATTTTGCTCTGGTAACTGAAATCAAATGGTTTGAGAAGCTACATAGTGTTCTGAATACTTTATATACAATTATACAGAATATCCTTAATGGTGCCTTTCTATTTGGTTAATAAAGTCTTACCTTCAGTTGGTTTCGAGAACCAATGTCCCTGCAGCCCCATTTCTGAACAGGCCTTCCGATTGGTTGCCTGGACTACCAGGCTGATAAAGTATCCTTCGGCAGTGTTTATCAACTTCCCTTTTGAACACAGGTTAGCTAGGTATCAGAGGGTCAGCAGACCCTCCAAACTCTTAGGTTCAGAGGGCTTTGCAAAGTCTTTCAGGGGCCCTTAATGTTGATACAGAAGTTTATATTTTTCCACTCTTGGAAAAATATCCCTCTGTCCTGCATGCATATCCATCCACAGCCAGATATAAACATCTAAGGAGAGATTCAAACGTCTTCAGATATGTTTTGCCTCATTTGCATCTTTATACTTCAATACTGTAATTGAACAATCCTAATAACCTGACTCCTGAGAATGCACATTGCTCATTCTATTGTTTACTTTGTTTAGTGTAGATATATCAGTGTTCATACTGGTGACTTTTGTCAATCATTCAAATGTTTTGAATGATTGACAGTACTGTATTACCAAAGATATGAAATTTGTGTAAATAGGATTCAAGACTTTAAACAGCAAATGTCTAAAGAAATTACACCCATTCTACCCGACTAAAATACAATGCCAGAATAACATTTTATTTATCAAAGTAACAAATATACAAAAATAGTAATTGAGAATAACTTTTACATTACCTCCACCCAGATTAAATAGTATTTATTATTTATTAGCCTTCTAAACTTCCAGCATTCATCCATCATTTTTTGTTAAATAAAGTGATGGTATGTCAAATACAAAATATCAACGGTCTATATTCACATCTAAGTTTAACGAAACATTTGATATAACACTTACATTACCTTACCTATATTTTGTATATGAAGTAATGTTAATATATATACACACACACACACAGGAAGACCTACTTGGAAGCATTACACAGTATTTCTGCCAACAAGTGCCCTAATCTACTTGCATATAAATTGTATAAATACATTTAATTTAAATTAAGAATATGAAGCATCAGATATTTTTTGTAAAAGATTTTCATCAATTACACTTTCACATTTACCAGGAAGGCACATTGAAAACATGTACACACACTGATGGAGATTCATTTGGTACTGGTTGCACTAAGTATTTTAAGGACTTTTGTTAAACATTGAAGGAGCATGTATCCTGTACTTGTCAAACCATGGAAAGTATATTCCAAGAAGTGTCCCATTTATTAATTCATTACCAGTATGTGAAACTGACAAAAACAGTACAGATGCTAGGATACTTTGTTATTTAATGTAGAACACAAAACCTATAAAAATACTCTGTAGTCAATATGATACTAAAATAGAAACATGTCATTTTGTAAACAGTTTCACCTACCTGGCAACAATACAGTACTTACACAATTTGGATACAAAAATAAAAATTATTCACAAACTATTAAATAGTTTTAAACTTCACTTCTGTTAACATTTAAAAAAAAAAAAAAAAGTGGTAATGACATTGTTACTGCTTATGTATAATGAGATCCCAGGTATCCCTCCAAGCCATGCTCATCACTTGATCAGCTGTAAGGTCTGTAGTGCCATATGTTACAGGAGCAAAGAACCAAAATACATAGAGGATGGAAATCATCCAGGCAGCCACAACGCCCAGGTACACTCTGGCAAGACGAGGAGCCTTCAAGTACTCCAGCACAAGGTAATGCCCATGCTCTATCATGGCTGCCAACAGACACAGCTGAAAGGGAACAATTTTATATACATTTAACTACCTGTAAACAACAATTTTTATTTATAAAATGCAGTATAGACAAGACCATGTTTCAGTGGTTAATTAGTAGGTACAGAAATGTTGCATTATATAGTTTATATTTTTAAGTTTAATAGTAAACCACAGCTACAGGTATCTGCTTTTCCTCAGATATATATATTAAGAGAATGTGGTGTGGGAAAAATAAATGTGGGCGGGAGAATTTGCTCAAAACTGCTTTGGCATTTTTTTTTTTTTTTTTTTTTTTTTTCAATTGTTACCACCCCATTCTTCCCAACTTTGTCTCCCATGAATCCAACATATCAAACATGCCAAGTTAAACTTTTACTCCCTTCCCTTCAAACCATTACTTGAGTATGCAGTGTCACACCTAATGAAGCACAAAAATAAACTTGCAAAGCTTCACAGGTTTGCAACTAAATTGGTACCAGAATGGAGAGGGGCTCGGCTATGAAGACAGATTGAGGGAACTCCTCACAATCTTATAGGTGAGAAGAAACATATGATCACTGCATACAAAATCTTGAGGGATATAGACAAAGTGGACAAAGGAAGCTATTTAAATTAAAAGGAGGTAGGACAAGGTGACATCAGTGGAAGTTGGACATGCAATCGAGTCTTAGAGATGTAAAGACATTCTCATTCCCTGTATGAATGGTCAGCAAGTAAAATGAATTGGAACAACGGGTTATGTAAATTCCATCCACAACTTAAACTCTTGGTGAAAACTATGTTGAGAGTAATTAGCTCACCAGACGCAGAGCATAAAGAGCTAGATCTCGCTCTCCTGTAGTCACCAATAGAAAAGCACAGCATTAATAGCCTGCCTTTTATTTTTCCCCAAGGGCCTTGGTAGGCAAAGACACTAACTTTAATCTTGGGTAATTCTGCCCTTTGTGGGAGGAAACTTAAGAAGCTCTATCACAATCTTCCCACCCATTTATTGAGAAGCTAAACACGCCTCAAGAAAACTTTCAAGGACTAGCAAATTTTACTAATAATAAAAGTAAATCTCACTTTGAAAATGTAAGCTGGTATGTAGTGATGGAGGAAAAGTGTCCTGTCGACAAGGAAGTATGGGAAGTAGTGCACTGCATACCCAACTCCAAGAATCTGGAATATATTAAATATATATATTTGGTACCTTAAAGAAAAAATCCTTGTGCAGTTTAATTAAAATTATTGTAATTGTAATTTATTAAATTAATGTAATTATTAAATTAATTAATAATTAAAATATTGTAATTGCAAATTGAATATGTCATTAACAAATATTTGACAATATGATATGTGATCTGTATTGGTAATACAGTATTATGCTAATAATTATTATGAAGTCTTGAAGGCTTACTTTAATTCTCATTGAACTCCATATTTTAGCACTGTATATTTGCTCTACCCAGTGTAAACTTTGTGCAATATACTTGCTTATTTAGCTGTTAATGTATAATACTGTACTGATATTCTTTGTAGCAAAAGAAACTAATTATGCAGTGTAATGGGACTGACTTGCTGTATATCTCCAGAGCCAATAATGACTATTGCCAATACTATAGTTAGTTGGCTATGGTAAACCAATTTTTTTTTTCATAAACATTCTCCCTCACCTTTAGAATATAGTACTTAATCCAGTCTCAAACTCAACCCTTTGATGCTGGTTAGCAAGCTGGGACCAGTTTTCATTAATAAGATTACCAGTGTCACTTTGGTTGGTTTTATCGATCTTCAGAGAATGTCCACAATAGTGGTGATTTTTTGCCTTTTTTTTCGAGCCACAGTATGGAGGGCAAATGTACATCTAAAAAATAGTAGATTACTGGATAACTTTATAATTAATGATGCTATTAGGAGCTCTGGTTTAATGTTTTGCAGATCTTTCAATGCTGTTCTTGGCTGGATATAAATGCATTTGTCCAGTGCCTCCATGGCACCGTTATGATCCAGCAAGGATAGTTTGAACAGTTCCATATGGTGCATTTTCAGCAAGTCACTCCTGCCTGACTGCAGGATATCCTACTCTGAAAGCTGCTTTTGTAATCTACTTTATTGTTTTGTATTTTTTTTTAATTGGAGCCAAATATACAAAGGGTGAAATTGGTTTAATGCTAACAACAGTACTGTACATTAAAATAAACATTTAAGCTAAAATTCTAGATCAGAATCAATTGCCAAACTGCACAATTATCCCAAAAGGTTATAACACTTCTGTAGTGCAGTTCAGATCAGGCAAGAGCACACTACACTTAGGACTGTAAATTTACATCACTGTACTGTACTACTCTTAGAACTAATTACACAAAGATAACAAAAATCACCACGCACCTCGCCAATACTGCAAAATTTGTTCCAAGCATTCTCCGGCAGGTCATAACACGCCCTTTGCCGCCTCAAAAGGTACACTAGAAACAGGCCACCATATGCCACCAAACTCAGTGTTCCCGACAACCAGGTAACAATGTTTCCGATGAAATGAACTTGAGCCTGAAAATAGTAGTGTATTGAGTGTTTAATAGTAAATAGTAGTAAAAAATAGTAGTAGTGTTTACTATAAATAATGATATATTTAATATATTTATAGTAAACTATCTTAATTTTTTTTTAAATCAATTTATAGAAAAACATTTCATTTAATGTACACCTACATTACTATTGGCAGAGATCCAATATGCCACGCCTCGTTTGAGAGATAACCAGTCTAGGGGTTCCGAAGCATACATGTGGCCAGCAACATTTTCCTGATTGTTAAACAACATCTTGTACTGGAGCTCAAATAATTTATTCCAAAAGGTCAAATTTTTGCGTTCCATTGGAATCATTTCTGAACGCAGCAAATCCTTCTCTCGTTCTTTCTTGTCTTCATCTGTGGATTGTGTTAGCTTTAGTGAGGAAGAAAAGTTTATGTTCTGTACAAAATAACTATTTTCCACACAGTTAAGATTTAATGAAAACAGTGCACCATGGGTTAGGCAACCGTTGTGAATTTTAGCCTGGGAAAGACGAGTTGTTAGCATCCTCTGTAAATACTGATAAATCAACTTTCATGTAGGTCATGTACATATATCAGAAGAAAATGGGCTACATTGATCCTCGGGAGACTCCTGTTCATCAACGATTACTACTATACTTCTAAGCTACCAAGTAAACTTAGGAGTGATAATGAATATCACACTTAGTAAAGAACCTTCCCCATTATACCAGTGTTTTCCATCACACTCAGTTTTTTTAATGAGATAGGCAAAGGCCTTCAGACAGTCTTGACAGATGCAGACCACCCATTCCCTCTTTTCCCTATCCAAATTATCCCTATTCCTTTTCCCTATTGAATCACTCATTGGATTAAATTATGAATTAGATTAAGACATTACTTTCCTTCCTTGAACCTCTTCCTTTTTTTGTTATGAATTATGTTCCATACTGATGTTCTAGTATTCTATGCCCAATTAGTTTTTCCAATACCTAACAAAGGAATGGCTGTTGGCAACACTTGCCTGTAATTTATAGCATTCTGTCCATCTCCTTAATTTAATCTCTTATACAGGGAATTATTTTATTAGCATTAATCACTATCTAAATAGAATTTTTAGCACCTACAGAGAAATTCCGCCTTTAACACTCCCACTGCTATTAGAAAGCATATTCTCGGGTTTTGTAGCATTGTAGGCTATAGGTTCTTACACCTTTTTTGGAAGTACTGTACAGTAATTTATTTATTTCACACGAGTGTACTATGGAGGCTCGGTGTTCAATGTAGAAACATGTATTGGCACACCTTATTAATATTTTGCATTCTATCAAGTTCATTTCCCAATCTAGGTTTTTAACAGTTGAAGTCTTACCAATTAATTAAAAAAATTAGAAAAGAGGAAGTACCAAGGACAAGAATAAACCAGGTTCACGACACTAGCAAAATATCCACACTTATTTTGCCAGTTTTGTAAACTAGATGTAATCATCTCACGATGTCACAAACAATATTTCATTCATATAATTCATTCCCTCATAACATCCTAGTTCCACCTGTTTCAATACCACATCGAGCACTATTTACACACAAACAGTGCCTTCCATTCAACAACAATAAGGAACTACTGTATGTTATTGAATATAGTGAGACCAGCAGTTTGGGAAAGACAACAAATTTAAATTTCCGAATGACAATTTAAAACAACACGCCAATTTTATGAGCCAGTCGGTTGCTGATGTTTTGCTGCAGTCTGGTGGTACCAATTTTTGGTGCCATGTAAAATGTAAGATATGGTCAATGGACAGAGAATAATTTTGTAATATCTTCATATTGCCTTTCCCTCCCTCCTATACTACTAATCTTTATTTCCATGATGATGTCTCCCTACTACATGACCATGGAAAATGGTAATCATGATGCCATCACCTTTCATTCCAAAGCCTATCAATAAAAATTAAACTACATACTTCGGGTGTAGCGGTGCTCTTCAACATTCCAAATGGTGTCTTCCTGGTCTAACAATTTGTCGGTAACAACTTCGTGTTGTCTGAAACCCCAGTCTGGAAGCTGGCGACCAGAAAACTTGAGAGCTTGACTTGAATTGACATGAATCAAGCGTATCTGGATGTGAGAAAAGTAAAGATATTTAATAAACTCATTCAGTCACATCAATGCACATGGCAGACTGCACAGTACAAGTTTTTTTTCAGAACTACACCCATTAAATTTAGTAAATTGTTACCAAACAATATGGCCACTTACCAAAATAGTTTCACAACCATCAAGTATCTTTATTAAAATGTACTTAAATAATTTGTAAAGCTATTTTTGAACATGCATAAAGTAAATGTCTATCTTTTGAAAACTTTTTGCCTCTTCAGTCTTGCCCATCTTTAAGAAAATGGCTGTACAAACTTAACGCCTTCAATATATATCTGCATTTTAGTACTGTGCTTTAGTTGGAAAGGAAATGAAGTAAACAAGACAAACCCTGCCTCAAGTAACAAAATCAATAAAATTGTCCAGTTAGTGATTGGATATATGAACCTGAAGATGGCTCATCAATGGGAGGGTAAAATACCCACTTCACACTTGTTACAGTTCTATGAACGAGGCCAATTCTTCTACCACTAGGCAAATGCTTTTTGTTTGCATTTCAAACAAATCACTATCCAATACAGTACACCATTTCCCATCCTAATGGAGCTGTATTTCCCTTCGACCCATCCCCCGTAATGGAACGTCGCATTTTGATGCATACTCTACCCACGACCAAAAATTGTCGTGCTAGACTAGAAAATGGTAGCGGCTCGCGAAATTGACTGCCCTGTTTTGGTTCCTCAGGTAGGTTAAGTTGAGGCCACTTTAGTACGACAGTTTCTTGACATTGGGAACACTTAGGACAGGATGGCCCTCCTCACTACCATATCCTTCAATCATGGTCTGCTCCCCTTTACTATCTTGAGGTTACCTTGAGATGATTTCGGGGATTTTTAGTGTCCCCGCGGCCCGGTCCTCGACCAGGCCTCCACCCCCAGGAAGCAGCCCGTGACAGCTGACTAACTCCCAGGTACCTATTTACTGCTAGGTAACAGGGGCATTCAGGGTGAAAGAAACTTTGCCCATTTGTTTCTGCCTCGTGCGGGAATCGAACCCGTGCCACAGAATTACGAATCCTGCGCGCTATCCACCCCACAAGGCCCTACAAGGCCCCACCTATTTCCCAACACTAAGCCTAAGTTCTGTATGCTTCATCTACCTGCCTGGTCTTCCCATTCAACAATTTAATGCCAATTTACAGTATTTTCACTGCATCCATAACCAAAAATTAAAGCACAATTGTTAATTAAAAGAGATATGGTTAATTTTTCATAGTAAAATGATTCATCAAGGCCTATTAAGCTTTCCTATAACCACTTATAGATCCAAACTTGCAATTTTAATACTGTAAAAATGATGAATATTAAATACATTAAACTGAAGGGAAAAAATCTATTTAAAAAATATTGTAAAAAATAATTACCCAATTTTACTGAATGAGACAAAATGTTATTAAACTTAAGATGGCTATGACTCTTGAAGATCAAGTACTGAACTTCATCAAAACAAGTCCACAACAGACTGTACCCTGTAATGTGCAATCACAAAATTTACAAGAAATTTAGCATAAAATTCTAAATTACATAAAGCTTTATGTTAAACATGCAAGCATTAATTTTATTATTAATAATTATGTTACCTGTAAACATACTTTATCCAATTCATATTACTTAGCCACTTAAAAGTTGATAAAACAGTGGGTCATAAACATCTAAAATGTCTTACCTGACTTTCCACAGCATGCCAATGTCCGTCGGTTTGTTCACTGTTGAGGATTTCTACACGCCATGTAGACTGAGCTGGCATAGACACATTGTAGTCTATGTATGCAGCAACCTAATTAAAAATAATAAAGAATGTCATTAAATACAAATGATATTAGTATGTAAAACTACAAAACAATAGGAATGTTATCAGTCTCCGTGGTGTAGTGGTAAGACACTCGCCTGGCGTTCCGCGAGCGCTACGTCATGGGTTCGTATCCTGGACGGGGAGGATTTACTGGGCGCAATTCCTTAACTGTAGCCTCTGTTTAACGCAACAGTAAAATGTGTACTTGAATGAAAAAACGATTCTTCGCGGCAGGGGATCGTATTCCAGGGACCATAGGATTAAGGACTTGCCCGAAACGCTACGCGTACTAGTGGCTGTACAAGAATGTAACAACTCTTGTATATATCTCAAAAAAAAAAAAAAAAAAAAAAAAAAAAAATTTAAATATTATAGTTTCAAGTTTAGACAAGCTGCTATTAGTTACAATGTTAAAAGTTTTAGCAACATCAAATAATTCTTTATCTCCTAATGTAAATTTTCTTCTTTGGTTTGATTAGCAAATGTATGTCAGCAATATTTGATAATTTACCATTTTCTTTAATTAAACAAACCCTTATAAATATAATTTCACCATTATTTTACTGTACCATTTACTCTTCCAAAAATTTGCTTCCCTGTTTTTATTTTCATGTGTTGTACATGTTTCAGGCATGTATATTTCTCTCTCCAAGATGGATATTTCAATGGTGGTTGGATGTTGTTTATAATAAATTGGTAAGACAGCCAAGTGTTCTTAGCAGGTCGTATTTTAAAATACGTTATCGGCTTGCAACTGAGGGTCTTTTAGTTTGATTCCCATGATTAGGAGAGAGAGTTGGGAATGTTTCCTTTCAAATGTTGCCTCTATTCTAGCAGTAAATAAGTACCCTGGAGTTCAGCAATGGCTGTGGAGTATAGTACTGAGAAGTCAGTAGTTGGCCTCAAGGGACCTTGATAAGCCCAAGTATAGGCTACCTGACCCTGACAACAGGAAACGAAACTATGGAATCTTTCTTTCAATGTTTCCAATATACCAGTGTAAGCAATGAAACAAAATGGACTTGCTTAAAGCAATAATCGAACTGAATGCTCACAAATGTATTATAAAAGTCGTAGGTACCTTACCTACCTTGTAATGTTTTCGGGGCTCAACGACCCCACAGCCCGGTCCTCGACCAGGCCCCCTCCAGGCCTAACTAGGTATCACCACCTAATTTCCTACTTTTAACAAGTAGAGCAATTTTCCTGGAGATGTACCTTAATCGAATTTGCCTATTTATTCAACATGATCAACCCCCTTTCCCCTCCATTCACAATTTTACAATTTACCAATGCTCACACACTTTCAAGATTTTATTTTTTTATTTTATATCCTCCCTTCAGCTACTGTTTTAACTGAAAATGAGAACAGTAGGAAACTTCGTTTACCTCTTGATTGTGTGGCGACATGGCGGCTGCAACATCATGCGAGTTGAGGGCACGAGAGGTCAGCCCATGAACTAGCTGGATAATATCACCATTTTTAATGTGTTCATGAGGTTCTGTCACAACCAATTCCTCTCTGCAAAAAAAGGCAGAAATACAAAAATTAACCATTTAAGACTGCCCTAATAGTCAACTTTAAATATTGGAACAAAAAAAAAAAAAACAAAAAACAAAAAAAAAAAAAACAAATTACATGCTAAACCATCAAGGATTTTCATAGGCTTACCTGGCATAGTAGTTACACATAGCTTCAGCAAACAGACAAGATTGTTCACACAAGATCACTGAAGGACATGGATGGAGGTGTTCCATCCATATCCAACAATGGAACACTCCCATCACGCAAGTAGAATATATTCAATAACCACCCACACACACACACACACACACACACACAAAACCCTAATGAAAAGTATAGGGCCTAGAAGCACAAGTGGAGAATACTTTATGTTAAAAGGCTTACAACTTCCTACTTACAGCAAAGAAATGAGAAATATTGGCAACAGTTAAATTCTTAAAGAAAACAAAGACAAGTTCAGGCATATATTATCCTGTCTGCAAAAATTGTGGTGACTATTGACCTTAAAGCTGCAAAATGTCAGTAGCTTGTTATATTGGTCATATGTAATATTACAATTAATAACTGGATTATTATTAATACAACCACTTACAACTTGTGCAACTGGATGGTGGGGAATGGTTGGGAGGCCGAGGGGGAATGATGGGGAGGACTGGGGGACAGGGAAGGTTGCTGTGGCTCAGCAATGCACATGCGTTGCCGAGCCACAGCAATGCGTGGCCGGGTACTGCTAGTTATAAAATAAAAAGGGGCACGAAAAAGACCATTAACTTTACACCAAGGACAATGAAATGTATTTGAATTTACAGTACAGGGACTAACTACTACTGTACACAGATCCGAGATTAATTCGGCTCATTTTGATAATAGTCTGGTTCGCTCTTGACGCACACACAATCAGAATTCTGGGTTCAAACCTCAAGGGAACACAAATGGCTAGGCATACACTACTTCCTGTCTCCTATACATCTGTTCAACTAGCAATAAGCAGGTACTCAGGAATTAGTCAGCTTTTGTGGAATTGCATCCTGGGCAGGATCAGTAATTCTACCTTAGGGGAAACTGATATAAGCCTAACAAAATGAACACACACTGGCTGCCTGTCCCTTGACAATGAATTATTATTATACAGTACTGTAATGTATAATGAAAAAATAACACATTAGCTCACATCTCTGGCTTTTTCACAATCCACCAATTGTTGACATCCTTGTAGCTGTAACAGGTGACCTGTTGTTGATGTGATGAGCCCCGCCCATCTTGGTACTTGACAGGATAAACTGCATCATGAGAGTGCAGCCAACAAGTGCGGCCATGAGTGTGGCGGAGTGTAATTTGTGACCCATGAAGCACCTTTACTGGTTGATTGGCAATAATAGATGCTAATCCACCCTGTAAAATTATCGAGTGTTAAGAGTGTATAACATTTTTTTTACAAAACTTTATGGCATGATGCTAAATGCAGTTTAGTGTAACCTAAAAATAATTAATGCTTTATATATTTCCAGAAGCCAAAATAAAAAATGTAAAAAGTTTATTAACTAATTTTATACAATTACAGTAACACTAAATAAATGATTTCCATAGTAAAACTTAATATTTTCATAGTACTGTACTATATGTTGTCGAGGACACTCCAGCCTCGACAACCAGAGCGCAACTTCATAGTCTCCCAAGACTGCAGGATGCCTACTAAATAAACTGATACGATTGTTTTAGTCAATTACACAGGGCTAAGTACAGTACCGTGTGGGTAAATAAAACAAAAATAATCTCTTAACACATGCAACTTCCAAAATGCAGAGATCAGTCTAAGCAATGATTATTATTAACTGGTATGGTAATAAATATCGCTGCACGAGTGAGGAAGTAACCAAGCAACTGGCGTTCTGTTACCAGACGGTCACCAACCATCATCCAGAAGTCACGAGATAAGATGCCCAATCCAAGCAGGAAAGTAAATATACCAAAGTATCACACACTGTAAACATAACATAACATGCCTGAAACGCTGTGCGTATTAGTGGCTTTAGGTATTGTATGTACTAGCTCTATCTATAAATCTAACGTTATGTTTGTAACTCATCATCTATGTATGTACTTTTACCTGAATAAACATAGAGATATATATTTTTTATTTTGATTCGATTTAAAAATAAAATAAAGCATAATTCTTACTACAGTACTACTACAGTTTCCCAGCATTATCCAAGTAATATAACTAATACAGATGCAACTAACCTCCAGACTGGCTTGGAATGCTGATGTCATAATATTGTCATTTGGCCCGGCCTTATACAGCAATGACAGATGAATATAGAAGCAGCCAATGTACAGTGCAACTGGTATGGTAATAAATATCGCTGCACGAGTGAGGAAGTGACCAAGCAACTGGCGTTCTGTTACCAGACGGTCACCAACCATCATCCAGAAGTCACGAGATAAGATGCCCAATCCAAGCAGGAAAGTAAATATACCAAAGTATCGCACACTGTAAACATAACAATTACTTTTGTAGTAGTGTCTGGAAAATCATGCTATAGTACATATTTCATTTAAGCAACAATTTCTTTTCTTGCATGTCTTGGCAAAAGATAATTTACTTACCACACACAAGCACTCAGTGATGCAGCCCCAACAATAAGGCAAGCAAACCAGGGAACGCTGTAAGGCTGATTGTAAAAACGACGAAACTTCAAAATGCAGAGAAGGCCAAACAAACCAAAGAACATAAGAATTCCCTCCATTAAGATGAAACGGGACTGTGCTAATATAGCATTATCTGCAAAGTGAAAAGAATCATTAATTTCCAATCTGCAACCTTTATAGCAAAATAAAAATATTCAAGTAATAAAACAATTTAGAAACAATTATGAAAATTTGTATTTCTTTAACACAGGTAATATATGTTCTGTATATAATTAATCTTATTGTTCAGAAATCATTCCATTTACTCAAGTGATTTATATACAGTACCTTAAAATTTAAAGCACTTGTGTACATTTTAATCTATCCAAACAGACTTGTTCCTGCAATGTCTCAAGTTCATGAGGGGAACTTTAAAATTTTAACAAGCACCTTGCTTATCTTGCAGTATGTTTTTGGTGATGCACCACACAGAAATATGACCAAGTCTAGGTATCCAATTTAGCTCTGGCCTGACAAGTGATTCACTACAGGGCTTAAAATAACTAGTCCAACACTGGTCTAAACTCAACTTAAACACGCTGCAATTTATCTGCTCTAAATTTCAATGTCAAAGTAGTTTACTTACCAAAGATCATGAGGAATGCAGCAAGGGCTCCAGCATAATGAGACAGTCCCAACTCTACCAGAAGATTATAAACTGTGGGCATCAGCAAGGAACCAAAAAATGCAGGTACAACACGCATGGCTGATACTGGTACAATAGGATCATATGGGGTACCAATGCGATCGAATTTGAAGTTGCCTGTAAAAATAATTCTGCTTTAAATGATCTATTCACAAATATTATACAAAAATATTTTTATGCAATCAACACTAAACAGCAATACCAAATACAGTACTGTATTGCATTCTTATGAGTGAAGTTGAATATTTGCCAAATTATGGAAAAAAATGGGTATTCTACATTTCTATTTTGATTAACCATTAAAGCAGAACACCAAATTGTTTGTAGCCTTAATAGAAAATTTGTTATTACCTTACCATTCTTTTAAAGGATATAAAAGAAAAAATCTGAAAATAAAAATTCCCTGCCAACTAACCATCAAAGCCTGCTAAGTAGGCAGCAAGGGCTATCAGCTGTTTTCCAAGTGGAGGTTGCGAGTCAAAGAAGAATGTGTTCTGCATGTATAAACCAGCATATTTTCCATAGTGTAGCTCATCAAACCTGTGAAATTAAGGTGATTACTCATGAATAGTAATAATTTGTCAATGTCTATACAAGTTAAAGCTGCTTGTGTCTGATATTGTTGACCCACTGGTAACCTGCACATCATTAATTAAACGATGAAAACTAAGGCGTGTATATTTGCAGTGTGGCATCTGTCTTGTAGTGCAAGATGTACTACATACATTTTGGGAATTAACAGGCATCAAGCCAATAATATATAGCATGATTGTGATCGCTGTTGCCTCATGAATCACATGTAAGTGAAGTGAGTGGCACTTTGTGAAGTGATTAGAGACGAGAAATTCTTTTGATGCTAATCAGACAGAGCCATCTGTTTTTGTTTATTTTCTTTCATACGAAAGCAGCCAGTTTCAGTGAGGTCACCAACAGGTGACCTTGCAAATCTGACAGCAAATACACTTGCTGTCAGATAATGAATGTAAAGAATTTTAGGCACACTACAGACTAATTTTTACTAATTGTAGTCTGCCTTGTGATAATAGTAGGTTATAAGCACCAATACATTATTTTAAAACCTATGCTCTTGCAGGCAGTGGTCCCCCCAATATGATGGTCCTGCATTAATATTTCATAATTTATTCATTATATAGTTTATAGTACAGTACAAACAACATGCAATCAATAAAGTTTAATTTACCAGCAGAACAGCCTCCCAAATGTAGTAAAAACCTGTATGAAGTACCCTTTTAATACTGAATGTTATCACTTAGTTCACTTCTTTATCATGGTGTGTATTTTTACCAAGAATGATTACACTGTATTGTGTGTACTGCATTTAGCCTTATTTTATCTTTAACATGCACACTAGTTTTGTTTTCAGTGCATCAGGCCTAGAACTTTCTTCCATAGAGAATAATCTATTTTCAATGAATGATCTTTACATTCAATATGTCATGGTCTAGATATGGATAACGTGTCAGAACAAGTACCAAAATCTGATGGTTGAAAAAAAATAAAAATCACTAGAACTGTACCAAATAGGGTTAAATAATTAAACTACTGTATTTGGCACTGATAAGTCAGCTGAAACAATTTAATTATGGAAAAGAAAAAAATACCTGTGAAATGTAATTTATACTACCCAGTGACGATTTGTTTACCCAATTTACTTCTATTTCTCCCAATTATTTCCACCAATTTATTTTCATTTAATTTTAATAATACTTACACAATGCCTTTAGGGCTGTCCAGTCTCCAAATGCGAGTAATAAAAGACAATACGAATAGGGAAACGGACATGCCATCCAGACGTAGGCTAAGTTCCAGGGGAGGGGCAGGCGAGGCCGATTTGGTAGACGTCTTTGATTTTTGACGCGTGGAAGATCTTTGAATTGCAGGGGTTTTGGTGGCAGGTGTGGATTCAATGGTGGTGGAGGTTGTGGTGGTTGTGGTGGTGGAAGTAGAAGAAGGAACAGCTTCGTCTGGGGCCGTTTCCGGTGGCGGCGTGTCTGGTGCAGACTCTCCATCACCCTGTAAAATTAATACAAAAAATTACTTTGTATCCAGATGACAAACACTGCATAATTTGGCTGAATATTGCACCAAGTAAAGAGCAAACTTTGCTCAAATTGAATTTTTTGCATTATGGTTTAATTCATGCAGGATAGAAAAGATGCTTTTTCACCCACAGTTGCAAACGCAAGGAACTGCCTACCCGCCGAAGCTGTAAATGCCAAAACGCTGTTGTGCATGCACACATGTTAGTCTGGTATTGAGGTTCCCCCCCCCCCACCTCCCAATCGAGCTACTGACCCTCCCTAGGAAGCAACACCACAACAATTGCCCAATTCCCAGGTAGCTGTTTACTGCTAGGTGAACAGAGAAATTGAGCGAAAGATAACTTCCGTCTTGCCACGGGAATCAAACCCCTGACATCCCAGTTGTGGCCGTTTCACAACTGCAGTGAACACCACACTGAATTAATCTGACTTTTGAACATGACTTCATTCCAATAATGATAATCACCGACTTGTTCCTCATACTGTACTATGGTAGGTCATACAAGGAAAATGTCATTCCATGGAAGGCACACACACTAAAGATTAGTCCAGTCAGCAGAGGGAAAGTGGAAAAAGTTGATGCGAAGGTTTGAGAATTTTGGCAATGTCATGGTACGGTAGAAATAATATGATCAAAAACAGTTGAATTTTATGAGAGATCAAGTAAGAAAAAACAAGATTTGTATGTTAAGAACACGCATGTAGGCTGATGAACAAGGTATTCCAGCTCAATCAGCCCCTTCTCCCGAGCATTCCTAACGTCACGAAACTGTTGTGCTAAAGTTCCCAAACTTAACCTACCCGAAGATCCATTTAGAGAAAACAGAACGTCAATTTCTAGATCCGCTACCATTTTTAGTACCAGTTTTTGGCATTTGTCCTCATAACACAGGCCAATATGAAATTCATTCTCCAGAATAGTACATCACATTTTGACATGTACTTTACCCAAGGCCAAAAACTGTCTTACTGGAAAATGTTGGCGGCACGCAAAACTAACAATGTCCCTGTTATGGAAAGGTATGTAGTTGTTCTGAGAGGGCCAATAGTACAAGATAAGAGTTTTCTGTTTGTGGGTCCTCTGGTAGGTTAGGATAAGGCACTGTAATACGAAAGTTTCCTGACGTTAGGAACGCTCGCAAGACCGGGCTGAATATAGAGTCAATTTAGTTTTTTAAACTTCGTCATGCCCCCTCACTAAGCCAATACGGAAGGTGAAGCTCTCCTACATGCTTTAACACTACATGTATTTTGGTCAGTAATCTAAGAACACAGCAAGTCCTTGGATGACTGTCAATATTACACTGCAATGATCATGCACTTTGCATGGCCTTTCTAATATAACTGGTAGAAATTTGCTCATGAATAATGTTCACCCATAAACTGGGTAAAAAGACTTCTGTGCCGCTAACAAAAAAAAAAAAAAAAAAAAAAAAAAAAAAAAAAACTTTCAATTTTACTATAATGCTAACAAAATTATTTTGAATGTCATGCATTAACTTTTATACGGATATGCTTTTATACGGTTGGCATTTCCAACTAAAAATGCTACCGCTGCTGCTACTGTGTTATAAACAATTTCGACACATGAACAGCAACAGTTGCAAATCTATAGATACAATAGGGCGGGAAACTCACTTAAAATGGGAGAGATTAACAAATGCAGTTTTAAGTTGCAAAATTGTTGGGTTCCGAGCCTAATGATACAAAAATTATTGGTTATCAGCTGGACAATGATTAATTCCTAATTTGGAATGCAGAGAGAGGTCCAAATAATGATTAGTGGCGATCTTCAGAATAGAGAAAACAAAAGTCTTCACTAGAACACTAAACAATGGATATAAATTGGATATGTTTAGATTCTGAAAACACAATGGTTTGGAAATAGTTTTGTGGGTTTGTATCAATTTTCTTGCCGGAACCGAGTTGGATGGTCCAAGAGATTGTGCAGCCTGTCCACCTAAGTTTTTTTCCAACATCAAGAAAACGGTCAGTTTAAAAGAGTCCTCTCCTAACCTACCAGAGGACCCAAAACAAAAAACGGGATAGTAGGTCACTTTCGCGAACCGCTTCCATTTTATAGTACGAAAATTTTTGGCCTTGTGTAACACACACGAGCGAAAAGCGACGTTCTTTGTAGGACAGGTTGAATTGTGACCGTTCCTTCACTCCATCCTGGTATCCATTACAAGTACTATGTAATCAACCTAGTTTTATGTTTTCCTGATAATTTGACACTGATTTTTTTTTACCCGAGGGTCACTAACCCTAGTGGCCTCTGCGTACATGAAGCCGGCGGCTTGTCGAAGGTCCCCTCCCTCATTTACTTTCATCTTTTCCGGGTATATTTTAAAATAACAGTTCTGACAGTTACGGCTTCGGCGGGTAGGCGGTTCCATGAGTTAATAAACCTGTTAATCAATCGTTGCTGCAATGGTATGACTAAACCATTTACCGCAACGACAAACAACCTTATTATAATCACGAACTACAAAAGTTCTTAATCGTAAAATTATATGACCTACAAGTCGTAAAACATATCTTTAAGTGTTGACAAAACTAGACGAGTTGCAATATTCTCCCCCTACCTCACTATCTGTTAGGATTGCGGCCATGCAATACTTGAAACTCAAAAGTAAAAGCGCTCTTTGTATCTTCTCTACAAGATACACTAGTCAACAACCCCAAAAACGGAATTGGTCGTTAAAAATAGGATAAAACGATCCAATCATACTGACGCAACTACAGTGGTTACAGCACCACAGTCGGCCACAATTTAGTCCTAAATTTTAGAAATCTTGTATTTATACTCTTCCCGTCAATTTATAACATTACCGAGCGGGGTGAATGGCACTATAGAAATTGTACAATTAAAACATTAATAGTAATAAGAAGCGTCCACAAACTATTATCCATTTTAATAAAAACTGAGATATTACATTAAATCCAGGCTGTGGTTCTCTCTTGGCAAACTGATCATTAATAATGTAGTGGGAGGGTTGCTGAAAAGGGGGTGGGGAGTGGGGGGTTGATGTGGGAGGGGAGCAGGGGATAGGGGGGGGTTGAATTGAAATAAGTTTATTGAGGTAAAATACGGGGGGTTAATGTGGGAGGAGTACATCAAGGGAGAGGGGGGTAATACTTAGCTTAAGTTGGCTGTGTGAATAGCGTATTGGCTGGGGGGTAATAATATTAAAATCAAATCCAAGTGTATATAGTTATTTGCGAGATAAGTGATCAATTCTTAAAACTCGCCATACCAATTAAATTAAAATGGCATCCAAGGGTCAGAATTCATTAAGAATTTACGTGTCCACTTACGAAACCTGTACATCTTTCCTCAATCGTGGCGGTTTAGTCTATATTTATTCAACAGTTTACGAGTTCCAAACGCTACGAGGTCGTTTCGACAACCTCTTATCAATAAGAGCTCCAACTGTTTAACAGCTAACTTAGGCACTTGAGGAAATATTTACAGGTTTTGCAAGTGGCAATGTGGTACAGGATGATAGGTGGCATGATCAACATTTACGGGATCCAAGCCTGTGCTACCATTGAGGCCTCCAAAAGGCTGACCCCGGTAACCTCAACCAGCTCAGGGTCAACGCCGCACCCACCCTCCCACGCCTTGATAACTGTTGCTCCATGCATTGGGTCGGTAAGGGAGGAGGGAAGAGCACGTAAGGTTTGAAAACCTTTGGAAAAGGGTTAAGTTGATTTTACATAGAAGAAAGGGGAAGGAAAAATAGTGGGTCGTCCACTATGGGTTTGTAAACCTGCAAACATTATATTGTAGAATGTCCCATACTGACCGACTTTCGCCCTCCTGGGCCGAAATATGCTGAACTACTATACAAGTACTGGAACACTTGATATATTGGACTTTTACCCTAGATTGACTATGCACTGTATCAATTATACAATGTATGTGATGTAACTATATAACCTGAGCTTGTAAAAGCATCTTAATCACCTTCAGTGGTTAAGTGCTTAATTGCACACTAGTTTATCACAACACTACTCGGGCATAACACTACACAACGTCTACGAAGCATATACAAACCCCAAATGCATGTGGCTCTCGTCCACGATAAATGTGATGTGTATGGCATCTCGCCCACGAATTCCAAATGCTTATGGCTTCCCACCATCACTATGAGGAAGACCATCGCTATGAGTGTAGCATTTTAAAGTCATCGTAGTCTAGTGGGTAAAGCGTGTCTGGGGGCGTGTCCAGGGACCCACATACAATTGCACCGCATTGCTCCAAAATATTTTAATTCGTAGAATTTAAAATATTTTGGAGGAATGCAATTTACTCGCGTATTACGCTATTGTGATTTCATTGTGCGAAGGCGGCAACATTAAATGTAAACTCCATATTCACAAATGGCAAAAAATAAACATTCCAACTATTGTATGAACAACCAATGAACAGCAACTATGGCGCCAAAGGCTTCTCCGTGACTACACTTCCATGCTAGTCAGCCTCGGACCATGATTGGTTACAAGAATAAACACAAAACGTCACAGCGACCCCGAGATTCAAACCAATTGAACTATTATGAATGATCAACTTTCTTCGTCGCCTTGAACACAGACTGCAGAACAAGACTATAAAGTACATTAAGAGATTTTCTTCCAAAAGTTACCTTAACATTTGATCACAAATACGCCAGTGATTACCGCTTATTATTTTGCATTTATCTACTTTATTTTAAAATCTATAGTATGCTCCGTTTGATATTTTGACCTTTGGCAATGACGACGCGCCGCGGGGTTGGGTTCACGACCGATCTGTTAGTGATGGTATTCATCTTTAGCAGATAGGTTAAAGTCGTGAGTGGTAATACAAAAAATAAAAAGCCATTTCCAAAGTTTTGCTGATGAATCTGAAAATGTATTTCCGTTTCACTAATATTTATATCACCTATCTGATGCCACTGACAGACAACCTTTCAGTATTCTTTCCGTTCAGAGGCCTAGCATAAGTTTTTTTTACGACTTTGCATATTACGACTTTGCAAAGCAGTCGTGTGCATCCCTCAAATAAGACTAGTTTCCTTTTAATACTACGTCCTCAACAATTACATGTGGCAGAGTGCACCACATTCCTACGCAACATTCACACACAGCCTCCCACTCACTCACACTTTTCCCATTATTAACAGGTAATTAACAGGTAATAAGTAAAATACGTAGGTTACTCAATGTGACAAATGAGCAAAGTATAATTCTGACGCACCAACGGATTACGGCTTTGTAATGTAACAACCTTTTTTATAGGTTGCTTTTTATGCTACCTATAATTTCCCGATAATTGGTTTATTTTCATATCCACCTTTACTGCGAATTGAACAAGTTATCAACTCATAACAAGAGTTATGAACTCTAAGTCGTGCAGGACGACTTAGCCTGCACTAGTTTGGATTTTTGTGTGGCCTCGCTATATAGTTAATACCTCTGTGAAAACTAACAACCACCTTCAACTACCCTTCGGTGCACCCAAATGCAGAACTATTTTTTTATGACTACGTCATGCCCCTCCCCCCCCCTCAACGTATTTAATCTATACTCTCAGCATATGACTATCATGAAAATGCTAAAATTGACCAGCATGTTCTCACGATTTCTCTTTAAAGCCAATGTCATAAGATTGAGAGGGTGAGGGAAGGGGAGAGGAGAAAAACTTCGATAACTACCAACCGAAAATATTAATAGCCAAATAGGCATAAGCACTTTCAACTTTTACTATAAATTATTATAATTTATAAAATTATAAACAGTAATAAATTATAAAAAAATATATATATTTTATAAATTATAAAAAATTAAAGCTATGAACAATCTCAGCATAAATAAAAACCATTAGAGACCGTCTACCTTTACATGCAAAATTAAAAAAGATCAGAATATGCGCAACATAAACATCGCACCCAGATCAATATCAGACACGGTTGCCTGCATGACCAACTCTTGTTGCCTCGTTCAGGCGTTAGCACCACTACTAGGCTCGCCTCATCCCAGTCAGACGAGGGTAGAAATAGCCTAACCTACAATCATTTTGAGATGCATTTCATTATTTCAAACTTACTCGAATCCCAGTCAGTACTTCAATATAAAATTCGTACTCTTCCGATTTACAATTTCACTTGTTACAACATTGTGGTAACTAATAAACAAATCCACAAGGGCCGTGACGAGGATTCGAACCTACGTCCGAGAGCATCCCAGACGCTGCCTTGACTGAGCGACTGAGCTTCTGATATGCTCTCGGACGTCGGTTCGAATCCTCGTCACGGCCCTTGTGGATTTGTTCAATTGATGCATCACGCTATTGTGATTTGTGTGTAATTGTGGTAACTGACATTACTAGCCGCCATTACCCGTGGTAGCATTACGTCATATAAAACGCATAAGCGACATTAAATTTTGTCACCGTTTCAACACCAGTAAAGGTGATTGGAAAGTATAATTCAGGTTTAATGAACGGTTATATTTGCATGTGCTGTTCGCTTCAGTAAGGCACATGGCTGCCGTTAATTTTATGTTTAATTACCAACATTGGGCCATTACGCAATGTTACAAAAATACACTGGTTTCATAACAATTATCTTTGGTATGCATTCACAACATTTATGAATTAGGAAAATTCTTAGCCATGAATCCGTAGAGGCGTTTGAGAACGTATATACAACGCCCACCCTTGAAATACAGCACATTATCTTTACATGCCACAACCTACAAAATAAGGATAACAAAAAACACGAACTCAAGCCACCCTACTTAACTAACCTACTCATACAAATTACAATTATTTCTTTTTACAATTTGAACAAGACAAGCCATGCCAAAACCTAGAACAGTATATGTACAGCTTAACACCTGTCAACACCTAGGCATCACTCCGCACGCGCCTATTTGTTGAAAGAGCAGTGTCGAGCCACTACCTAGATATTACATTAAACCAGTGTCTGGTTTAATGAGAGAGTACATATTTTTGTAGCAGGATATCCAGTATTGTCTCAAGTGAACTACAGCCTTCATTTGTCGAGCTTTGTACCTAGCAATCTTCGGTAAGGACGGTGGTCGCATGCTGCCGGGGCGTTAACGGGACTTGTATCTAAGGAAGGGTTTAATTGGCCATCGGGAGGGCTGGGAAGATGACGCATCGCTTGAGCAAGACGAAACGCAACAATCGCAAAGTCCAAAGACCAACGTCATTCTTCCCACAAGTAAATTAACATTATTGCCGATTTGCATGTATGAAACCTATCCTCGAGCCTAATATGTCGCATTTTACGGACTCCACGAATCCGTTAGAAATACGAGGCAACAGTATAAATTAAAGAGCCGTAATGTTGACGTTTTCTATGTATCGTCCTCTATGGATTATAATAGTTCGTAAGTTTCTAGTTATGCAAAAACTAGCTCCATTTTTTTTTTACCAGTGGTAAATTGCGAGAACAGGGAGGAAAATTTACTGAATAAAATAAAACTCCTTGTAATTAATAGTAATTACATATAACTATTTGCATTTAGAAAAATTGATTTGTATATAAAATATATACATTATATACAAATGTTATATATATTGTATATATACATTTTATGTATTGTATATATATATATATTAAACTAAACCCGGTAGAGATGAACAAGCATCATGTACCGTGCAGTAGGAAGCGTCCTAATAGTAAGAGTTCATAAGCGCCAATGAGTAGGAAAAAAAATCAGAATACTGGTTGAACACTTTGCTATTTAAAGGCAAACTGCCAAAAACTGTTTTAATATGGGTGGGGGTTAAGTAAAGCAGTGACGTAACGGGTCGGCATAACCACGGATGGGCTGAGCAACATTCATAGATTAGTCAGGAAGTAATCTACAGCCTAGTCAACCCTCCTCCCTCCCCCCCCACACAGAACATTAAAAAGCCAACATTACGGAACATTAAAAAGCCAAACAGCCCCCCCCTCCCCACGGAACATTAAAAAGCCAAACTGCTCCCCCCCCCCCTCAGTGAAACCAACAGCCAGGCAGCAACAAGTAGGAAGTGCTGGAACTTGCCTTACGGTCCACCGTGGATGAGTGGGAGCCGCCATCACACACCTGCAACAACCCACATTATTATTACTTACACAAGGCGTCCCATCTGCCCCAAAGTCATTCTGGTGATGCATTATGTACCAGGGTAAATTGTCACGTCATATGCACAAGCCTTGCTTAGCATGGATGCTCCCATGGTAAGCAAGAGCGTTATTAACATGGTCAGTTGAGAACATTATTCTATATATTAAACGAGATTTGTGCATGCATAGATGCTTTCACTGACATTGAGACCCTAGAAACAAACATTTAATATCTTGCACATTACAGGATATACGACAATTTAGAGTCAATTTGTTGCGTTGGCGAGTATTTGAAGGTGGTCCAGGTGGGATGAGAGTGAATTGGTATGTTGTGTTAGGATGAGGCAGCGATTAACCACCAGAGAGAACAGATTTTTAACTTGGTGGTAACATTCTTTATAGCATGAGTCTTCTAGCAGGTGACAGTCGGGTTTCGGAATGAGATGGGGCAAAAAGGCAGTGAAGAAGTGGAGGGAGCAGACCGAGGGAGGGAGGAGAGAGACCGAGGGAGGAGAGAGACCGAGGGAGGAGAGAGACCGAGGGAGGAGAGAGACCGAGGGAGGAGGTAATTAAGAGAAGAAAATAAAGTGGCAGCACCGGTAGTGGTGTGGTAGGTAGGCCCGGAGCACAACGTTATCCACCACCCAAGGTGAAAGTTGCCAGAATTCTCCGTATCATGCAGACTGTGGCCGGTTGCCACGCTGGAGGCCCTCTGCGCCTGGCTGGTTCCTGCCCATCACTGCCGCTGAAACATCGTGCACCCAGCGTAGAAAAGTCTGCTGAGGTAACAGGAGAGAACTGCCGCTGCACGTCCAACGGAGCGAGAAGAAACTGAGCGTGACGCCAAAATGGTCCTCTCGTCGGCTACCTCCAGCTGGCATCCAGCACTAATGTTCACCTCAGCACACAATTTTATTCTTGTGAAATCCCGAGACCTACAAATACTCGCGGCACTATTTTTATAAGTATAGGAGTATCATAAATATAGTATCCAATGAGTCGCATTCCTTAAAGCCAGCCGAAAATAAGTTTAAAATATTCACAAAACGTTCAGAGACTAAGTCCTGTACACAGCACTGATCAACTTTGTGCCTTGGAACTTTAACGGTTTCATCAAAACACGCCGACTTAATAACTGATATTTGTTTGCTAGAGACTTTAGAAACTTTCCCCGGTGACCTGCTGTAAGCTCACATACCAAGACTGGCTTCCTCCTCCCCACCTCCCACTAGCTAGCAGCAGCAGCACTAAACCCAGCTCGCAGCTGCCTCGTATAAAACTTAAAATTTTATCTCTTGTGAGTCCTGGGATGAGAGTTCGATCCCACTGCATGGCTTCAATGTTTCCTCAGATACACATTGCTATTTTATGTGCAAGGTAAATTTCCATTACATTTAATAAAGGAGATATGGGCGAGCTGTACAGCGCATTAGCTACAAACTACAATAATGTACACTTTGAAAGGGGTATAAACGCCGTATTACACATCGTCACCTGCACCCCTGACGCAGCTGGGACTAACTTAACCGGCTTGAGAGAACACCGTCTATTTAATGATATTAACAACATTCCAGTGTTGCTGGTACTTGTTACTTTTTCGTATTTAAGAGATGCCTATATATGGCAGAAAATGTCTTGCTAAATACGGTACACACTTATCCTAATACTGTCAAGTGCAACAGTCTATACTCTATAGTATTAGGTTATGGACATATCTATTTCTTACGGTGCAGACACCATCTTCCCCGCTCTACTGCCTTCGTCATACCTATAATCAAGAGTAACTCTTGATATCCCTTATTACCCGTTCTCGTGTGTTTAACAACACATACTAGGTAAGAGGGACTCGCCATCTGCCCGTGTTTTATCCTATACACATTGAAATTGAAATAAGTTTATTGAGGTAAAATACACACAAAGGGATGAGGTAGCTCAAGCTATTCTCACCCCGTTCAGTACATCGTGTTAATACATACATAGACACAATCCTATACACAAGTTGTCCAACTTGCACAACTGCTGCGCCTCTATCTTTCCCTCGTAATACAATTTCCTGACGACACGTGGTTGGTTTATTGAAGACACCTGGGCTGATTAAGGCAGCGTCTGGGATCCTTTCAGACGTAGGTTCGAACCCCCATCACGGCACTTGTGGATTTGTTCATTTGATGCATCACGCTATTGTGATAATGATTATGTTCATCTCGTTCTCTTTAATAGCTATAACCCCGGCAGGTTATTGCTCCTCTTTCAGCCTCCTACGAGTGTGGATTCAAAAATGACACTTAACTCATCTAGGATGTTCAACGTGTTGTACGTAAATACCGCTTCGTAATAATTCTTTACATGCAGTGTTGATAGCAAAGTTCAAAGTGTGATGGCTGTAGCTTTTATTTCTTTGGATCTCTGTTTTTAAGGATACAAGTTCCACATAGACTTTTCCCAGAGCTTAAGTTCTTGTATGTTCCACTCCCGTGTGCTGTCCCTCCTACCTCTTAATAATTTTGTAACTAACGTCAAAAGATTGTTATTTGCTTAGCTAAACGAACAGCTAACATTGTTATTTGCTTAGCTAAAAACGGGTTCGATTATGTGCCTCTAATCCTTTACACCAACGCCCACGGGATGGGTATAGGGTGCATAATAAAGAAATTGCATTGAATTCTATTGATAATTACACAGCTGATCTTGATCTCGGCATTATACAAGATCACTCGCAATACTAATCGTGCATTAGTACCAAATTTAAACGTTACGATCATTAGGATCCTACCTTCAACAAAACATTTTTACCAGCCATTGGTGAGCCATATTTTCACACATTTTCAATACGAAAGAGCTTCCTCATATCTATGGAGGCATATCTGCACATGAAGGTTAAAGATCTAACGTAAACAGTGATCGTTGTTTAGTACCCAGATAGACAGCCGTCTGCCTTGTATGAAAATGCACGCGAGGTGTCTGCCTCGTATGAAGATGCAAAGGCATTGCACCCTGACGGCCAGCAACATACAAAAGTGGCACTTTTTTACACTAAACACGTCAGTGGGTCAGGTGCATGAACAATGACAGCCGGGGTCCCCTCCCTCCCTCCCTCCTACCCTCCCCACACCACCTGTTCACCACAACCACTATTCATACAGGCTAACCTCATCCACCACCCTCCCCGCACACTACCCACATTACAATAGTGCAGCGGATATTGAGCAATGATGTACGCGTTATGACATCAAGCAATAAGCAGGGGAGGAGGATTCCAGAGAGGACACACGCACAAGTTCAGCTCTATCTCGGCGGCCACGAAGGCTACAACACTGACAAAAATGCACAAGAAACTGGCAAACGTGAAAATACTGTATCTGGGAAAGCGAGGTCTCGCCCTCAGAGGCGAGGCCCAGCCCGGAGTAGGCCGCCCCGTACAAAAACTCCCACTTAAAGCAAACTAGCTAAAGCCAGGTTACAAGAACCTCTTTGGTTAACCAGTACAAAGTTTTCCAGAGAGTTAACCCAAGGATGGTTTTATATTCACGTTCCCAATTACTACCGGGTGCACAGAGGTGGATGGTGAAGTAACTGCGCCAAATCATCCCCCACCCTGCACAGGAATCCATCAACCCAGGTGTCTCACTTGTGAAGCGGGCAGGCGAAGGCTTTATCCACTTCAGCACAAGGTGCTACTGGGCGGGTAGCGTGTTTTGAGAGTGGGTTTGTTTTAGGGCGGCGGCAGGAAGAGCGCGGACTGCGGCTCGCCATTAACGATAAAAAGAGGCTCAACCCTGCCCTGAATATCCATGGTGAAGAGCAGGTTAAAGCACAGTTGCGTGCCTAACTCTTCACTGAAACATAATCTAGCCAGGAAGCCTTATGTTTGTGGTTTTATCCAACAAGACCTGACGGATAATGTTCTTTTGCATTTAGGGTAGAACTGTTATTTAAGACGTAATAGGCGAACTAGAAGCCTCTGAGAATCTGGAATCCATGTAAAGCCACCGAAAATAAATGCCATTCCCCAATCTGTATATGAGAGCGCGCCCTAGTCGAGGGCCACTGCCTTACTGCTTTGGATAATGTCTCGTGCCAAAAGAACGCTGTCCAATCCTTAACCAGAGACTGGTGGTGCAGTGATACCAGCCCCCGTGCTTAGCGAGCGGTTAGGCCTAGATTCTTATCTTGGTGTAGTGGATTGACTAGGTGTAAATCCTTACCTGTATGCCTGTTAACCAAGCAGCTATTGGGTACATGTTAACCTATTGGCGGGTCATATTCCAGGGAAATTAGTGGGCAAGTCTTACCCATGAGCTATGGGAAGGAATAGCTCTCAGCCTCTTAACAGGAATCAGCAGTCGTCTGTTCCTGTACCACCTGTGAACAATAAATCTGGTTGTGGCTGTGGGTTGCACACTTGGGGGGGGGGGGGAGAGGGGGAGCATGCTACAGAATGGGCTTCTTGTATGGGTACAATGCGCTCTAGTTAATTTTTCCGTAGGTTTCCCCAAGTGTTATTTCTTGTATGTCTATGTATGTATAGCTCGTATGCTGTCGATACGTTTGTGCAGAAACTCTCAGATATGGTGGGTGTTCTTTCTCTCCAATTCACTTTTACGAGTTTCTAGTGTAAATGGGTTTCTAGTGCAAACTAGTTAAGTCTAGTGTAAATGTCGTCAGAATAAACCTGAAATTCGTCCAGGTAGTCCTATATCCTTTTACACTCCTCTTGTGGCATTGACAATTTATACTCGTCCACACTTATATGAATACAACTTACTCATTCAGGTCATTTACGTATAGTGGAAACTCCAAATACCGACCCTTGTGGCACTCCACTTGTGACCTCCACTGATGTCTCATCTTGCCGCAACCCTTTGTTTAATAGTGTATACACTAATTCAACTTTGATCCCCCCCAGGTGTGACTGGGAGGCACAAACACTTTCACAATCCAGGAAAGAATCTTCCAATCTTTCCCTTTCCTGCTCCATCG